CACCGACTCCCTCGTACGCCACCTCAGTCTCCCCCCTTCTTCCGCCTCTTCCGGCCTGAGGATCTCCTCTCGCTTGCGGGCGCGCGAGGCTGCGAAAAATTAGTACCTCAATAACAAGGCCCTTTGTGTAATTGGCCGAGAGGCACACACTAGTTCCCAGTGAACTTGTTGCTGGTCTCGGTTGGTTGTTTTACCTCCGACAATATGACCGACGGCAGTCACAACACTTCCCGTAAGGCCTCAAACGATAAATTAACAAAATAAGAATATCTATATCTAACTCTCTACATTTTTCTATAATGCATTAATGTATGTGGAGATAAAATGACCAAGAATATATCACGTGCGCGTTGCTGCAGGTGCTGTCGGGGAGTGTGTTGGCAAAGATTTGGCTCGGAGAGATAACCCGGTGGAACGACACGGCAATCGCCGGCCTCAACCCCAACATCACCGCGCGACTGCCCGACGCCGACATCCTCACCAGCTTCCGCAACGACAGCGCGGTGAGCAGCACGACGGTGTTCAAGCGCGCACTTAATGTCTTCTCCAACGGCACCTTTGCACGGAACGGCTCCCTGGCTGGCCTCCCGCCTGCGGCCAACGGTTTCTCGTTCGGCTACGCCACCGACGCCGAGCGTATCAACTACGTCAAGGTCAGTCTCCGCCATCACGTGCTCTACATTGGTTGACCACCTTGCTAACAAACAATAACATCTCTCTCGTGTGTGTATGTTGCCGCAGTCGCACGACAACTCGTTGACGTACCTTAATTCGTACGAGGCCACCAACGCCAGCTTATCCTATGCGATGATGGTCAACGCCGCGGGATACACTGTAACTGCCACGCAAGCGGCCGTGCAGGCTGCCATGACCGCCTATCGTCCGTTCATCGACAATGGTACCAAGCAAACCGGGCCATGTATTGGCTCATCATTCTAACATCTCCTTGCAATCATGCACTTGACTTCTTGAAGGCGACCTCACCGTGGACATCCTGAACGCCAACGGCTCGGCCTCGTGGCCGCTGAGCTACATCAGCTTCGCTCTCATCCCCCAGAACATCACCACGCCTGACTGTTCCAACATCCAAGAGCTCCTGCTCTTTCTCTCTTGGTATTTTACTGCTCCAGCCAGGCTTGGAAACTACGGAGTTGCTGACGTCATCATCTTTTTTCTTCCTCACTACGTGCCATCACAGGACGCAGCTGAACGCCAAGGCGTCGGCGGTGGCGAGCTCGCTGGGCGATACGGCACTCATCAACGCCTACCGCCGGCGGCTGATCGACACCATGGGCACGATCTACTGCAACGGGCAGAAGGCCTTCAAGACAGCCGTGCTCCTGGGTATGGGTCCGCCCTACACCATCTACTACACGTGGGTGGCCAACTACCCGAGCACGGCCTTCAAGGTCCAGTACACGTCGGCCGTCTCCCAGACCGCTATCACCGAGATGGCCGCCGGCGATATCGACTACGCCGCCATCAGTACCGAGCTGACCGCCGCACAGAAGCAGCTGATGCCAGACGCCGAAGGCGTGCCGACCATCGGCTACGGCATCCTACCCGTCTACAATGTACGTCGCGCACTCTTCAACTGCTCACACATCTTGTGCCTCGCCGTCGACCAAAGTTGTCTTCGGATGCGTCTCACAGATCTCCGAGTTGATCGGGTATGACCCCGTGATCATGGACTGGCAAGCCATCTCCGACATCTTCCTCAACAAGATCAGTGTACGAGCGTTCACCTCCATCGCCCCCTACGTTTTTTTTTCAACTAATACTGATCGACACACCACACAGATGTGGAACGACCCCTATCTCGTGGGGCTCAACCCGCATCTAGCGGGTCTGCTGCCCAACAAGCCGATCACGATCAGACCGACCCGTCGCCGGTGAACAGCATCATGACCGAGGCGCTGAGCAAGATGGTTCCCGAGTGGCGCGAGACGATGGGCAACTCGACCGACACGCTGCCCTATTTCCCGGCGCGGGCCTCCGGGCGGGTCGTCGGCGCCTCGCTCGTGGGTAACGCGCTGCTCAACTCCCTGGTGAACCTGCCCTACTCGTTCGGCTTCTACCACAACCTCGACGTGGTGACCTCGCGCACGCTCAAGGCCGTGTCGCTCTACAACGAGGCGGGCAACGTGGTGCGCTGCAACACCACCACCATCAGTTCAACCCTCCATGACCGCAAGGACAGCATCGCGCCCATCATCACACTGAGTACGTCCCGCACACGCTCATGCACATGACAGCTTCGCCTTGCACGCCACTTACGCATGTCCACGTTCAGCGCCGGGAGCGAACAGCTGGCCGATGGTGCTGGTCAACTACGTCACGATCCACACCAGTGAAACGAAGGACTGCGTCAAGGCGGGAGGCCTGCTCGACTACCTCTACTGGACCCAGACCGACTCCGACGCCGCAGACATGGCCACGGCGTACGTGTCCTCCCGGCTAGTGCCCTCGTTAGGCCTCACTCATTCGATTGCTTATCGATGCGCAGAGCCGGTGTGGTGGTTGCCAGCACGATCGCTTCGGTGAAGCGGCGGTTGCTCACCCTGTTGGCAAGCACGACGTGCGACGACGGCGTGGCGGCGAGCTCGCTCCACGGCTGCATCATCGACGGCACCCTCTGCTCCGACCACGGCACCTGCACCGACGGCGCCTGCCAGTGTGACTCCGGGTGGGAGGGCGACTACTGCGATAGCCAGAGGTCGGCCGGAGCTGACGTAGCGCTCATCGTGGGCCTCTCGGTGGCCATTCCCATCGTGTCGCTGGTCTTCCTGGTGCTCGTGTGCGCGCTCGTGGCGCTGTTCGTGTACGCGCGCCGCAACCGGCGCGGCAAGGATGACTGGGAGATCGACGCCGACGAGCTCGAGATGGGCGCCCACCTGGGCACGGGCGGGTTCGGCGAGGTGCACCGGGCCATGTGGAAGGGCACCGAGGTGGCGGTCAAGATGATGACCTCGGCCAACGTGACGCGCGACATGGAGCGCAACTTCAAGGACGAGGTGCGCGTCATGACCGCGCTGCGGCACCCCAACGTGGTCCTCTTCATGGCCGCCTCCACCAAGCCGCCCAAGATGTGCATTGTCATGGAGTTCATGACCCTTGGCTCGCTGTACGACGTACGAGGCTCCCCAGCTCTGCTTCCATTGTTCATGCTCACGATTGTGCGAGCATCCACCAAACTCACGCATCGTCAACCCAAACAACCAACAACCAATAGCTGCTACATAACGAGCTCGTGCCGGACATCCCGTACATGCTGAAGGTGAAGATGGCCTACCAGGCGGCCAAGGGCATGCACTTCCTCCACTCGTCGGGCATCGTGCACCGCGACCTCAAGTCGCTCAACCTGCTGCTCGACAACAAGTGGAACGTCAAGGTGTCCGACTTTGGCCTCACCAAGTTCAAGGAGGACATCAAGAGCGCCAAGCTCGGCGGCGCCATGGCGGGCAGCGTGCACTGGACCGCACCCGAGGTGCTCAACGAGACACCCGGCGCCGACCTGGTCCTCGCTGACGTCTACTCTTTCGGTCCGCCCTGCCTCCACAACACGCCGCGCACCGCACACGACACGCGACATGCATGGCAGGAGAGCTGATGGGTGTTGGGTGCGCGTGGACGCAGGCATCATCCTGTGGGAGCTGCTGACGAGGCAGCAGCCCTACGCGGGGCTGAGCCCGGCGGCGGTGGCGGTGGCGGTGATCCGGGACAACCTGCGGCCGACGATTCCCGACGAGCACGGCGCGCCGGCCGAGTTCGAGGCCCTCATGACCAGCTGCTGGAACGTGGACCCCGTCATCCGGCCCGCCTTCCTCGAGATCATGACCCGCCTCAGCACCGGTACCCCCCCGCCCCCACACCCAACCCGCTCCGGCTCGCCTTGCGTTGCTTTGGATGATGCTCACGCCATGGATGATCAATCACCGCGTGTGCGCTACATGGGGACAGAGATGGGCGCGCAGGGATCGTCGTTCAAGACCGGATCGTCGTCAACGTCGTCCATTCACGGCATGACGTCGTCGTGGACCGCCTCGGCCGGCACCAGCAGCTCCGGCGGCGGCAACTCCAGCTCTTCAGGTACTGCCCCGCCCCCGCCAGTCAAACCGCGACCTCCAACCACATAAGGCCGATTTTTATGTGCGACGTTGCGGATTTGTCGATTGTTGAACAACCACTCGGGTGGTGCACAAACAATCACAGGCGGCAACTCGGACGGGTCAATGGGCGCAGCAGGCGCGGTTGGCGCGGGCGTGCGGGCGCCAGAGGGCGAGGTGGCGATCGTGTTCTCGGACATCACGCGCGCGGCCTCGCTGTGGGACAGCAACGCGATGGCCATGCGCGACGCGACGCTGCTGCACAACGAGACGCTGCGCGCGGTGCTCAAGAAGCACGGCGGGTACGAGGTGGTGTTCCTGCGCGACCGCAACAGCGGCGAGGGCTCCTTCTGCATGGCCTTCCAGGAGGCGAGCGCGGCGCTCGAGTGGTGCATGGAGGTGCAGCAGGAGCTGCTCAAGGTCGACTGGCCCGCCGAGCTCGTGGCCCATCCCGGCGCCGCCGAGGAGTGGGGCGACAACGACGATCGGTGCGTGCCATGTGTCGTGTCGTGTCGTGTCGCGCGTGTGCGGTTGGCCTGCGTGGTTGTGTGCGGTGCATGCTTGGGTGGTGAGGCTGACGTGGAGTGGGTTGGGTGCGTGCAGAGTGCTGTTCAAGGGACTGCGGGTGCGGATGGGCGTGCACTGGGGCAAGCCGCGCGTGGTCAAGGACCCGATGACGCGGCGCGTGGAGTACATAGGACCGGTGGTCAATGCCGCCGCCCGCATCACCGCCCTCACTCACGGCGGTACCGATCCACCCAGTCCACCACATTCGCTTGACTATCGTCATCATTCGCTGATCGCACGACACGTGGCGGGTACACAGGCCAAGTGCTGCTGTCGCACGCGGTGTTCAACAAACTGAAGGGCACGGCGGTCGGGGAGGAGAGCAAGCGCATCCAGTGCCTGGGTCGGTTCGAGATGCCGGATTCGCCGTCGGGGTCGAAGCTGTTCGAGCTCAAGGTGCGCGGCCTCGAGGCCCGCTTCTTCGGCGGCGTCTCGCCCGCCGCCGCTGGCGACCACTCGTCATCGCAGACCCACACCTCGGCCGATGATGATGAGGAGCGCTCACAGATGAGCGCCCAGTCCGGCTCGACCGACGACACAGGCGGTGGCGAGCTGCAGACGGCGGTGGGCGAGGGCATGATGTTCAAGGAGGACAACTTCCTCACTTCGGCCAACCTGTGCCGATGGGTGATCGACTTCAGCGAGGTGCAGCTCGGGCGGCAGGTGGGCCTCGGGTCGTACGGCGTGGTGTACCGGGGCAAGTGGAAGGGCGTCGACGTGGCGGTGAAGCGGTTCATCAAGCAGAAGCTGGACGAGCGGCGCATGCTCGAGTTCCGCGCCGAGATGGCCTTCCTCTCCGAGCTGCACCACCCCAACATCGTGCTCTTCATCGGTACAACCCCACAATCGTCGTCGTCACCATCATTACCACATTTGACACACGCACATGGCTGACACACGACACAAACGACACGCACACAACAGGGGCGTGCGTGAAGCGGCCCAACCTGTGCATCGTGACCGAGTTCGTCAAGCAGGGCAGCCTGCAGGACATCCTGTCGGAGGGCGCCATCAAGCTCACCTTCGGCCAGAAGCTGCGCATGCTGCGATCGGCGGCGCTGGGCATCAACTACCTCCACTCGCTCCACCCGGTGATCGTGCACCGCGACCTCAAGCCATCGAACCTGCTCGTGGACGAGAACTGGAACGTCAAGGTGGCCGACTTCGGGTTCGCGCGCATCAAGGAGGAGAACGCGACGATGACCCGGTGCGGCACGCCGTGCTGGACGGCGCCGGAGGTGATCCGCGGGGAGAAGTACTCGGAGACGGCCGACGTGTACTCGTTCGGCGTCGTCATGTGGCAGGTGCTCACGCGCAAGCAGCCCTTCGCCGGGCGCAACTTCATGGGCGTGTCGCTCGACGTGCTCGAGGGCCGGCGGCCGCAGGTGCCCGGCGAGTGCCCGCAGGCCTTCAAGAAGGTGATGAAGAAGTGCTGGCATGGCGACGCCCACCGCCGCCCGTCCATGGAGACCGTCGTCGCCTTCTTCGACTCGGCCCTCGGCGAAGAGGACGGCGCCGCCCCCACCGACATGGACCCCTGATCGTGCTCTGATTTGAGGTGGTGCTCGGCAAGATCGAAGCGCACGTGTAAATAAGTAAAATACGAGGTTTGTTTTCGGCGGACTGCATACATACCGGGAATTCTGAACAAGAGCGGAAAATACCGGGGAGCATGAGGCCCTGAAAAGGAAGAGCGTTCGGCGAGAGAGTGGCGGCTCCCACGGAAGCCACTTCAGAGACAACCACGTCAGGGACGTCGGGCCAACCCCCGACTTGTCTCACATAAAAGGGGGGTTGGGTTGAGTGGAGAGCATTGTACAACTACACCCTCAAGCACAGCAAGCGAGCACAGAAGTAAGACGTGGCTAACTGACACACGCGTTCCGTCTCCGAGACCAAGCTTACACCAAACCCCGACCAACACCAACATCAACTTTAGTAACATGCAAGACACGAAGTACGAGACCAACATCATCCAGCAGCAGCTCGTAATCAAGCTCTCGTACGGTCCCGAGGAGTTGCGCATCGTAACTCTCGAGCAGCCCTCCTTCGACCTCCTGGAGAAGAAGGTGGCCACCGTGCTGGGCCTCACCGCGGGCAGCTTCGCCCTCCGCTACTTCGACGAGGAGAAGGACCTCATCACCGCCTCCTCCGACGAGGAGCTCCAGCTGGCCATCAACTACGCCGCGCCCTCGGGTGTACTTCGCCTCCAGGTCGCCCCTCGCCAGGCCCAGCCCGGCGAGAAGAGGAGGCGCAGCAGCAAGCACTCCTCGTCGGACCTCGAGGCCGACGTGGACCAGCAGGCCGTGGCGTTCCTGGTCGAGCAGGTGCGCGAGCAGCACGCGAGGGAGGTGAAGCCCAAGAAGTGCGCCAAGTTCCTCCGCAGGACCAACGGCGACGTGGCGCTGGCCCTGGCGGCCCTCGACGCCTGGTGCCTCAAGCGCGTGGCCAAGGAGCTCAAGAAGAAGGAGAAGAAGGCCCTCAAGCACGGTAAGGGTAAGGAAGTCGCGGTCGACCAGGACACCAAGCGCGGCGACGATGAAGCCGAGGCCATGACCGAGGAGGAGTCACCCGAGCTCAAGGAGAAGCTCGACCAGCTCGAGGCCAAGGGCTACCCGAAGAGGAAGAAGAACGCCAAGCTGCTGGACAAGTGCGGCGGCGACGTCGAGAAGTTCCTCGAGGTGCACCTGAACAAGGAGGCCAAGCGGGAGGCCAAGCAGGAGTGGAAGCGCTCCAAGAAGTCGAGGAAGTGCGACAAGAAGGCCCACAAGCGCGAGCACAAGCTCGAGAGGAAGGGCAGCAAGGCCGCCTTCAAGCACCACAAGAAGCAGGCCAAGCACGAGGCCAAGCGTCTCAAGCAACAGTACCGCGTCGGCTATCAGGAGCTCTCCGTCGCCCCGTCGTCGCCCATGCCCATCGTTGGCGCCTGAAGACATCTCTCTTCCTTCATCTCCCGTTTTGATCTGCAAAAAATAAAAAGGACACGAGCCTGTTTTCTATATTTTGGTGTTGGGAAACTTCCTGGAACGAGAGCGGCAAAAGCTCGCGTGTTCATCGTGGGTTGGTGTGTGCATTCATTCCTTTCTCGCAAGCTTCAGACTGTCTCCCTTTGTACGCCTCTGCCTCGCTCACTCAAGTGTACGTGAATGGTGGCACGCCGCTGACACAAGTTTGCGCAGGCAGGCCCAGTCGGGTGCGAGGAATTTTATTGATACATTATAAAATGGATGAATTGGAAAAAGCAATTGCCATTCAACTCGATCCAACGAAGGTCACAGAAGCAGATTTGAGAGCTGCACAAGCGTACACCGCCCAAGGTGCTGCTCCCCACAGTGCCACTAAATTCATATATGTCGCAGATTTTGGCGCCAAATCTACATCCCTCATTTCTCCAGTCTTCACTCCGCTCACTCACCACTCCTGCGGCAGTCGTTGCCTCGCCGGAGGGGTTGCGATTTTGCTGCGAGAAGCTCTTCTCCTCACAATCGCCCCAGGTCAAGTTCTTCTGCTTGCAAGTGCTGACAGATGTAGCCAAGAACAGGTATATGCAAGCTCAGCTCCTCTGCTTTATGTTGCACCTAACCCCACCTTCTCCGGTGCTGATGCCCCTCCTAACGTGCAACAGGTATGCCACTCTCGCCCCGCCCGAGAAGACCGGGCTGCGAGAGGTCCTCATCAAATGGATCCGAGAACACCTGGTGCAGCACCAGGACGAACAAGCAGGTACCGTTTCATCGTGTGGCGGTGTGGCTAATAGATAGATACTCACCATTCTTTCTTTCTTGCTTTCTTTTGGCACAGCTATTAAGAACAAGCTGGCCTATATCCTGGTGCTCTTCTTCAAGCAGGATTACCTGGCGCAGTGGCCAACCTTCTTCTCTGAGTTGTTTGGCCTCTTGCAACTGGTACACCATTGCATGGGCAGTCCTTACTGCTCCTCCCAAGCAGTGCTAACCCCTACTTGCTCAGGGACCTGTGGTGATCGACATGTTCCTGCGAATCATCAAGACCATCGACGAAGAGGTCGTGAGCGTGGAAGTGCAGCGGTCGGCAGAAGAGCACACGCACAACATTGCGATCGTACGACCTTGTCCTTTCTTTGGCCATGACCACTGGCCTCGTCACTTACCCTGTGCGTTCCCATTCCGATTGTCAGAAAGACCGTATGCGCGACGATTGCATCAACACCATGGTGGAGATCTGGTATCAGATCTTGGTGACCTACAGAACCAGCATCCCCCAGCTGACGCGCGAGTGTCTGGCAGTCTTGAGGCCGTACATCAGTACGTCCGCCTTTTTGCTCATCGCTAGATTGGATTGTTGCACCTCACTGACAGTATCGGCGTTGGCCTACGACAGCGTGGATCGATCTGTCGTTGATCGTGAACGAGAAATTTATTCCTTTCTTCTTCGAGTGCCTGCCCAACGTTCAATTCAGGCGAGAAGCGTGCGACTGCATCACGCAGGTCGTCGCCAAGGGCATGCCGCCCCTGCAGAAATTGGACCTTCTGGTTCGACTCAAGGTTCTTGAGCTGGTCAATTCAGCTGCGACGGTACGAGCTCTATCACGATCTTCATTAACCACTCGACCGCCTAACGTATGGCTTGTTTTACATCTTTTTCGCAGGACGATGCCCAATACAAGGTGAATGTGGCGAAACTGTTGAACGAGTCGGGAGTGCAACTGGTGACTGCCTACGCAAAGGTGCGAAAGCTGGTCTAATTCGGCTAAGGCTCTCGAATTGTGCTAATGGCGGCTCTTTCCAGGTGCAAGAGCTGCGCACACAGGGGCAAGTCAATGAACAGGTGGAGGCACAAGCGAAGCAAATTGTAGATAGCGCGCTGGTGCTGTTGTGGAAGTGGATGAGCGATGCCGACAACAACGTGTATGTTGACTCCTCTCAATGCGAACGTCCGCCGTGTGATACTTACATCCTGTTCGTATATGGACAGCGCTTCGGTGGTGCTCGGCTTCGTGCAGGAATATCTCAACAAGGTGAATCCTCGACCCGTATTTCCCTTCGCTTTCTTCAGGGCCGTGTTCTGATACCAAGCTTGTGCCTGGTGTGTGCAGTTGAAACATGCGACGACTCTTGGGAATGAGGAAACGGAGAACCTCAAGAGAGTATTGAGCATCATCTTGGTCAAAGCCAAGTATCCGGCCGAGTTTGACTTCGAGACCAAGGACGATTTTGAGAGCCAGTTTCTGGCTTACAGGGGCGTACGTGCGCCCAAGCCATTGGACTTACTCACTCCCCAGTCCCCACAATACGAGCCCAACTGATGCGTTTTCTTCTCGCATTTAGGAGTTGAGTTTGGTGTTTAGATCCGTTCTGCGGCTCAACAGCAACATGGCCATCTCATTCGTGCACACGATTTTGAGTCAGGCCCTCGCTGACTGGTCCTCGCGCCCTTTCGCCGATGTAGAGCTGGCCCTCTTCCTCTTGCACGCCATGGTGGAGACCAAGGCCAACCTGCCCGGTACACCCCACTTCTTGCCACCCGTTTCTCAGCTCGCTGACGCACTTCCCTTTCCTGCTGTACCGATTGATAGAGGCTACGCAGAAGACCTTGGAGGTGTTCTTTGCCCAGGCCGTTGCGGCGTTGGTGGCATCGGGTTCGCTCTTTCTTTTTCTATGGATCCTGCGCGCGGCATCAATTCATCACTCACGCTTTCTTCCTCCCCTGTGCCCTATCACAGCTGTGTTCAAGCACCCTCACAAGGCGGTGGTGCTGCAGGCGTTCGAGAACTTCGCGAGCTACGCGTCGTATATTCCCAACGAACAGGCGCTAATGACCGGTATCCTGGATGCCTTCGTTACATTGTACGATTACTCACCTGAACGTTTCCAAGCACAGCTCTGCTGGCAATGGTATGCGCTCACCTGTAGTCGGTTTTCTCTGCGTCAACAGCGGTTTGAGAAATCAGGATAAGTCGGTGAGGAATAAGGTCTCCTCGCTCTTCATGACATTCATTCGCAACAAGAAGTCGGAAATGTATCCCTACACGCAGCATCTGCTCGCTGCCCTTAAGGTTTGTGCGCCCCTTCCGTAAGCTTGTCGCCGAGCCGCTAATCTTCTCTGCGCAGGACCTCTTGGCGATCTCTCCGGATGGCCCCAAGCTGATCCCCTTCGAGTACCAGCTCTACCTCTTCGACGCCATCGGTTCTCTCGTGGGAACGGGCTCTGATCAAGACCAGATCGCGTTCCTGGAGGTACCGAGTCGCCCCGCACTACTTTCTCTTGTTAGCGCGGTGCTCGTTCGCTGATCTGCGGGTATGGTGTGCTGGTGGCGAGTGCTGCAGATTCTGTTGAAGCCGCTGGTGGTGCAGGTCAAGGACATCCTGGAAACGGGGCGCTACAAAGAGGACACGCCAACAAATCCGTTCTGGACGAACCACTTGGTCCGACTAGTCAACACCATGGGTTGCATTAGCCGAGGTAGCTTCTTTCTCCTCCTCGAAACTCTTTTCTCTTTTCAACACCGACTCACGTCTTCTCAACAAGGCATTCCCTGCGAAAAGGAGGAGAAGGCGGCCTATTGGAGAGAAGCAATGGACTCTGTGCTTCGCGTGCTGGCTGCCCTGCCGAACACCCCTGAAATATGGGACAAGGTACGCCCCCATGTTCTTAGCTTGGTTTGTAGAGACTTTGCCAAGGCTGACACCCTGCTTTGTGGCCTTCCAACAGATGATCTATTTCATTCACCAGATGGTGACGGCGATCAACTCGCAGCTCATCCCGTTCATTCCCCAAACCATCACTCTTCTCCTGGCCAACGCCAAGGACCCCAAACAATTCCTCGACTTCACGTCCCTGCTCAACCAGTGGGTGACCAAGTACAAGGTACGAGCCTTTCTGCCCAACCAAGAGCAGCGCACAGCCGTGGCTTACATTTCTCCACCACTCCCTCTCTGCCCATACAGGACAAGATATTCCCCATCCTCAACGAATCCTTCCTATTCGTGGCGCAAAAGATCCTCGCCATCACTAGCGTCAGTGTGACCCCTAACAGTGATGAAGAGAGGGAAATCCAAGCCCTCCGTAGGTACGCGGCAGGTCGAGTGTCGCTCTTGCTTCCTCCTCGCGTTTGCTCATCGTTTTTGCTGTTCTCCGGTCGCTCGTGCTCCTACCCCCCAGGATGTATTATGCCCTCGTGCGCTCTATTCTTTGCAACAACCTGGCTGGCGTGCTCACCAGCGAGAAGAATGCTCCCCAACTGCGCGGCATCCTCGAAACAATCCTCACTCCCATCGTCGAAAGCAAGGACCTCAGGGTGCGTCTCGTCCCCATTCAATGCGCGCTTACCTGCTACATGAGCTGAAGCCCTTCTTCGCGTTTCTTTCGTTGTACAGATGGTGCAGTTGTGTCTGAGCGTGATTCAAAAGACTGTCGAAGTGTGGGCCGGTACCGTACCTGGCTTCAATCGTGTCGTGTGCGACGACATCGCTCCCATCGTATTCCGAGCATGTCTCAGGCCAGACGTCAGTCCGACCGATAAGATCGCCACCACGGTACCTTCAACTTTCCTTCCACACCACCGCTGATCGCGATGGGCTTGGTCTAACCCTCTTTCACGGGCAGCTTATCGCCGACCTCGCGGCCATCCAGAAGACCATGCTGCAGAAGTGCGGACAGGAATTTGCCCAGTGTCTCGCCACCAAGCTCCTGCCCATGTTGGGGTGCGACGCTGCGACGGCGCAGGCCTACATGCAGCACCTGGAGAGTGCGCAGGCGGCCCAGTGGAAGGACTTCTTCAGGCAGTTCCTCCAGGCGGCCAAGACCAAAAAATAAACAGCAACTTGGCAGCGTCCTTGGTATGCGAGGCATTCTACATTTTTTAATTGTTTTTAAAGCTGTTTTTTTTGGGGTTTCCGGCAGGGATCAGATCGTCTTGCCGCTGCAATTGAAGGAGGACCTCGTAGTCGATCGATTAATTTTCATTTCGACCATGTCTGCCGCTGCTGCCGCTCAAGCACAGAAGCCCGCCAAAACCGAGGGCAGGTTCGCTGGAAGGGACAAGGAGAAGGATGTTCGCACATCTAACTGCCTTGCCGCAAGGGGTACGAATTTTTATCATCATTTTTATCAATTTTAACGACCCCAACGCTCACAATCGCTTTTGTTTATGATTAGCTGTGTCCGATGCCGTCCGCACCAGCTTGGGTCCGAAGGGAATGGACAAAATGGTACTTTCATCATCGATGTCGCGCATCGGAGAGCGATTCGTGCTTACTTTTGCTGGTGTGCAGATCCAAACCCCGAACAAGGAGATGTGATCATCACCAACGATGGCGCCACCATTCTCGACAAGCTCGAGCTGGCCCACCCTGCCGCAAAGATGGTACTTCCTGCCCTCCATTGCCTGCTTGTGCCATCTGTTCATTTTGGTTTTTCCATCCTGGCAGTTCGTGGAGCTCTCGAAGGCCCAAGATGCTGAGGCTGGAGATGGAACCACGTCGGTTGTGGTGATTGCCGGCTCTCTCTTGACGGCTGCGCAGAACCTGCTCGAAAGGGGCTACCATCCCACCCTCGTTTCTGAGGCCTTCCTCAAAAGCTCCAAGAAGGCCCAGGAGATCATGCGCGAGATGGCTATTCCTGTGGAGCTGAACGATCGTGAATCGCTCCTCAAATCGGCCGTTACATCGCTTAACTCGAAGGTAAGATTCAATCCCTTTGAATGGCTCTTTAATTAATGCCGGCCCAAAATCTCAACTTTCCCGTGCCGCTGTACATGCACAGGTCGTGTCTCAAAATGCCAATTTGCTGGCACCCATCGCCGTTGATGCCGTCCTCAAGGTCATTGATCCCAAGACCGCGACCAACGTCGATCTCACAGACGTCAAGGTACCCACTCGTCATAGAGTGCTTCATCATGCATGAAACGGAGGCTGACTTGTATTGGCCGTGCAGATTGTAAAGAAGCTTGGTGGCACCATCGATGATACGGAGCTTGTGGAAGGCATCGTATTCCCCAAGAAGGCTGTGCACGCTGCCGGTGGCCCGACCAGGGTCGAGAATGCCAAGATTGGCCTGATTCAGTTCCAGCTCTCTGCTCCCAAGACCAACGTGCGTTGGCGCCTCTATCCATCATTGTCACACGCAGCTTGCTCAGTGGCTCATCCTTTTATCCCCACAGATGGACAACTCGGTCTACGTGTCGGATCACACCCAAATCGACCGCATCTTGAAGGAGGAGCGTAACTACATTCTCAACATTTGCAACAAGATCAAGAAGACGGGGTGCAACGTGCTTCTCATTCAGAAGTCGATCCTCCGAGATGCCACCAGCGACCTGTCGCTCGCTATCCTCGCTAAGCTCAAGATCCTTGTGGTCAAGGACGTGGAAAGGGATGACATCGAGTTCATCTCGAAGGTACTTTTCTCACTCGTGCATCTTGCCTCCTCGTTACTGACTTTCTCTTGTTCTCTATTATTTAGACCGTCCACTGCCAGCCTATTGCCAGCATTGAGGGTTTCACTGCCGAGAAGCTCGGCCAGGCCAAGCTGGTGGAGGAGATCGCCACTACCGAGGGCGGAATCGTCAAGGTTTGATGTGGCTTCTGTCGCCCTCTCTCCTCCTATGTCAACTTACGCCCAGCTTTTTTTGGAATCCAGGTCACTGGCTGCCCTGGACCGAGCCAGACTGTAACAGTGCTCGTCCGCGGCTCCAACCAGATGGTGATTGATGAGGCCGACAGGTCGCTTCATGATGCTCTCTGCGTCATCAGGTCGCTCGTCAAGACAAGGTATAGCCTTATCGCGCCCATGTGTTTTTGCTCGCGCGCGGGCTGACGAAGTTGTTGTCCCACAGGTATCTGATTGCCGGAGGTGGTGCGCCCGAGATTGAAGTTGCCCTGCAGCTGGCCAAGTACGCCAAGCAGGTCAGCGGAAAGGAGGCCTACTGCTACCGAGCCTTTGCCGAGGCGCTCGAGATCATCCCCTACACGCTGGCCGAGAACGCCGGCCTCCGTCCCATCGCCATCGTTACCGACCTGCGAAACAAGCACGCCCAGGGCGAGAAGGCCGCCGGCATCAACGTGCGCAAGGTATGTTCTTCTTCGCCTTTTTAGGGCGGCCATCACTTCCTCATTTTCAGCTGCCCGGCGATGTTCGTGGAGCTTGTTTGTTTGCTAATACGGTGTTGCGTGCCTCTGCAACCGGTCACGCACGCGCGCGCGCAGGGTACGATCTCGAACATTTTGGAGGAGAACGTGGTCCAGCCGCTCTTGGTCTCGACCAGCGCCATCTCGCTGGCCACCGAGACCGTCTGCTCCATCCTCAAGATCGACGACATCGTCGCCATCCGCTAAGCCCCCTCCCCCCACCGCCCTCGAGCCGCACCACCACACCCCGCGGTCGTGTTCCCTTCGGCCGCCATTAGGCCCCGAGGCGGGGTCGTGACAGGTCGCAGGCGTTTGAAGAGAGTGGCCGCCGTATGCCCTGTTTTGCCTCTCGGTCTTGCCTAAATGTGTGGTGGTGTCCGTTTTGCGTACTTTTCCTTTTTTCTTTTGATTTTGCAGCGAAGGGGTGCCGTTGGACTTTTTTAGGAATTTCCCCGTGCTACGGCCCAATAGCGACGTGAGCCAAGGTTAGACCAATCGCCGTTCCCCTGCGCCGGCGCGGGTACAAAAAGCCGGCAGTTGCGGCTATCTCTGGTTCTTTCTCTTTTTCCACCGTCGTACGCAGCGTCCCTCGCCGGCCTACCGCCCTCTCCCCCTCTCCCTCTTCTTTCGCCACCGGGCTCTCCGCCCTCCTTTCTGCCTCATCCTACCTATCGTTCATTACGTTCGTTCATTCGTTCGTTTAATCTCCTGCATCATCTTATTCCGTTCATTCCAACCTCCGTTCATTCACCCGCCCGCATCATTCGATTCAATTCGATTCCCAGCCTCTACCAACCACCAACCGCCATCATCACATTCGTTCACAACATCGAAATGCAGCCCGCCATGCAACGCAAGAGAAAGCTCTCCGTCTCCGGCCCTGCCACCAAAGATACACTCGTCAAGAAGTTCAAGGAAGAAATCGACGCAGAGAAGAGAAAGAAGATACGCCTCGAATGGTATCTCAAGCAGCTCCTGCTCGAGAAGGAGATGCTCGTCAAGGAGAACGAGATTGAATTCGCGCAGGCGATGCAATCTATCGCAAATCTCGACGCCGCTTCTGCTTCGCTTCCCACCACCGTACGACCCGTCATCACGACCACGACCCTCACGACTGCCCCCGTCGCCATCCCGATCATGACCACCACCGCCTCCGCTTCGTCGATGGAAACGTCGACTGCCGCCTGCCTCGACGCCAGCCCCAGCTCCTACAGCTCCTACTTCTCGATCCGAAACGAACTGCCGGTCAAGATCGAGGCCGAGGAAGATTTGGGTGCTGACGTCGCCAGCCCTGGCCCCACCACGGAGGATTCCAACCTCGACGAGCTGCCAATATTTGAGCCGCATGAGGAGAGCAAGCCCCTCGAGGAAATCTTCAGCACCGAATGGGAACAGACCCACTGCTGGTGGGATGAAGACGAGCTGTCTCAATTCCTCGCCGTTCCACCATCTCTCATGGTGTAGAGCGCGAGAGTTGATCAAAGGGAACAAAAATCAAAAAGATCACACTTCATCCTTCACGGGGCCCGTAATCGCACCTTTTTAGGCAAAAATAAATATATAAATAATATTTTTTGGTTTTTTTCGAGACGGCCGTTCATGAATCCGTCATGTGAAACAACAAGCCCTTGGATCTTGCCTGCGGAGACTGGTAGCCTGTGTTGGCGAGGGCAAGGGTGCGTGAGTGGAAGAAAGTAGCACACAACCCGAAGCCCGACGATGATAGTGGGAATGGGCGCACCTGCGTCGTCGGAGTCATCGTCGGTATCGTACAGCGGCGGAACGGCGAAATCCACGCTCACGGCGTAGAGGCTTCGATAGAGTCGGCGTCGCCAGAAGACGTGGAGAATGTCGCGGTAGATGCCGGACGTGAAGAGATAGATGCACGTGTTGAGGATACCTTGCAGCGGCAGAAAGCCCGCTTCGAGCAGGCTCATAAAGTATAATTCAATCTCTTGTGCCTCTAACACCCTGTCGCCCGACCATTTGTCAACACAGCGGTGTGTGCTGTGTGCTGCGTGCTGTGTGTGCGTGTGCGTGTGCGCATGTTACCTGTTAATTGTGGCAGGGGTCCAGAGAACGATGTAGATGAGGGGATAGAGGAAAAGCTGTCGCGTGTGCAATGAGCGTTTCTCGATGAGGCGACCCGTCGCGATCTCAGAGAGCGGTGCGTTGATCTTCTCCGCCACCATTTCTGTCGGCATCGTGGAAAGTGGCGTGGTCAGGCGCCGACACACGCTCGCAGGGAACAGCCATTGGTGTACCTCTCCGAATGTGTCGCAGGATAAGGAAGTAAAAGATGATGATCGACAAGATGGCTGTCCACACCCACACGTAGTTCATCACGAATCGGCCGTAGGTCGGCTTCGCCGGCACCCAACACCAACCCACTACACGAGAGAGAGAGAGAGAAAGAGTATACGCCGCGACGCATCTGCGTCAGCATTGCGGTTGAATCGTGGGATGGGGAGTAGTGGCACGCACATCCTGCCGTGTACTTGAGCCCGTTGACCTCGTAGAGCGGGATGAGCGACATGGTAGCTGCGGCGGTGGCCACGAATGCAAAGTACATGATCTCGAACAAACCGCTCAGCTGCACGGGCACGTTCACGCGACATGTGGGAGCGGTGGTAAGCCATCGTCGTCTTGTTGCAAGAAGAAGAAGTGACGAGTTGTGCCTCTTTTCGCTTGACGACGATGAGGTAGAGGACCAAGGCCACGTAGAACGTGTAGCAATTGGAGAGCATGACGAACAGCTCCAACAGAACGCCTGATATCATTGCACGGCGGTGAGTGTGAGAGGCACCCAGCAGCAGGCCGGCAGGTAAGCCACAGGGTACCCTGCAGCTGGCACGCATTTGGACCGAACAGGTCCCATTGAGCAAGTGCCGGCAAGGAGCTCATCACCTGCCAAACGACAATAAAAGCATAAAGCGTAATACTTAGCAAAAGATAAAAACTAATTTGTAAAAATAAATAAATAACATTTTAAATTAAAACAAACAACAAAAGAAAAAGGGGCGGAGTCAGTACGAAGGTGGCGGCGGTGAGTCCGTCCCACAGGGCGAGCACGACGACGGCCCGCCAGTAGCTGTGGCGCAGCTTGCGGAAGTAGATGGCCGACCCCACCAGAAAGAGGCAGCCACACACGGACAGGATGCCGCCCACTGTCACGGTTCCATTCAGCAGGTCGATCTCCGTCTGCGTAAACGCCATTTTTCGCGGGGCGGCCTCCCTCTCGGCAGTGTAAAGAACGAAGGCGAATGGGGCGGGGAAAGTGGAGTGCGTCTTCGTCTTCGTTCTTTTTTTTCTCTCCGGTTGGCACTTATTTCCTTTTCATTTCTTCAAGTCGGATCGCTAGCTTGCCGATTCGTGGCAAATTGCAGGAAGAACTCAAAAAGAAAATGCTTGAGAATATCTTTTTCCTTAAAACGGTAAATCCCGTGGGTCATGCGCCAATCTCGTGCGGGGAACGGTGACTTTCCCGGGAATGTTGGCGAATTGCGGGACAAAGTGACACTTTCGCGATAATCCGACCGGCAATTTCCGACCACCGGAAACTTCCGATGAGCGCAACAAAAGGCGGAGCACGCCCTCTCGCACGATAATCAACAAACATCTTGCTGGACTACAGGAAGCCGCACATCTCTTCTGAAGCATCTCTCTATCCACACCACACATCATGTCGACGCACAAGCTCGTGGGCTATGCCAACTTCAAGAGGAACAACCCCATGACGGACAAGTTCGCCGTGAAGAAGTTCCATCATATCGAGTTCTACTCGGGCGATGCGCTCAACGTGTCGCGACGCTGGGCGCTCGGTCTGGGCATGGCGCTGGTGGCCAAGTCTGACCAATCGACGGGCAACGGCACCTACGCGAGCTACGTGATGCAGAGCCACGACATCAAGCTCGTCTTCACCGCTCCCTACACCACTGCCGGCGACAAATCGCAGTCCAAGATCGCTCATCCTCAATTCGACACTGCCAAGGCCCAGGCCTTCTTCAACAAGCACGGTGTCGCCGCATCGGCGGTCGGCATCGAGGTCGAAGATGCGGCCGAGGCCTACCGCATCGCCGTCGAGAACGGCGCGGTGAGCATCGCCGAGCCGGCCACCCTCGTCAACGAGGCCACCGGCGCCAAGACCGTCGTGTCCGAGGTCCTGCTCTACACCAAGGGTGACGTCGCTCTGCGATTCATCTCCTTCTCGGAGGGCTACGACCACCCCTTCCTGCCGGGCTACGAGACCGTCACCGACCAGGGTCCGCGTCTCAACTACGGCATCAAGCGCATCGATCACGCCGTCGGTAACGTGCACAATCTCATCGAGCAGATCGACTACGTGGCCAAGATCACCGGCTGGCACGAGTTTGCCGAGTTCACCGCCGAGGACGTGGGCACCGTCGATTCGGGCCTCAACAGCATGGTGATGGCCTCCAACAACGAGATGGTGCTGCTGCCCTTCAACGAGCCCACCTTTGGCACCAAGCGCAAGTCGCAGATCCAGACCTACCTCGAGCAGAACGACGGCGAGGGTCTCCAGCATCTCGCGCTCAAGACCGACGACATCTTCGCCACCATGCGCAAGCTCAAGGCCGCCACCAACCTCGGCGGCTTCGACTTCATGCCGCCCGCCTCGCCCGCCTACTACAAGAACCTCCCCGAGAAGATCGGCGACGCGCTCACCCCCGACCAGTACAAGGAGCTCGAGGAGCTCGGCCTGCTCGCCGACAAGGACGACCAGGGCGTGCTGCTCCAGATCTTCACCAAGCCCTGCTCGGACAGGCCCACCTTCTTCATCGAGATCATCCAGCGCATCGGCTGCATGACCAAGAACCAGAAGGGCGAGGAGGAGCAGACCGGCGGCTGCGGCGGCTTCGGCAAGGGCAACTTCTCCGAGCTCTTCAAGTCCATCGAGGACTACGAGAAGACCCTCACCTGCTGAAGAAGAGTGAGTGCTCCGTGCACGGCTTCTCTCTTCACACCGCTTCGTTTTTTGATCCAACCACCACGCCGGTCTTGTGGCCCTGTAACCCTACCACCACCCACCAGGCAATAAAATAGTTTTATTGTACATGCAAGTGTGGTCTCTCTTGTTCGGGCTTGATTGGCCCGCGCTTGGTGTGGAGCACATGTTATTGGTTGCATTGATATATTGGGAATTGATATGTACAACAACAAACAGGTGTTGAGCATCACGATCAGGGGTCCATGTCGGTGGGGGCGGCGCCGTCCTCTTCGCCGAGGGCCGAGTCGAAGAAGGCGACGACGCTCTCCATGGACGGGCGGCGGTGGGCATCGCCGTGCCAGCACTTCTTCATCACCTTCTTGAAGGCCTGCGGGCACTCGCCGGGCACCTGCGGCCGTCGGCCCTCGAGCACGTCGAGCGACACGCCCATGAAGTTGCGCCCGGCAAAGGGCTGCTTGCGCGTGAGCACCTGCCACATGACGACGCCGAACGAGTACACGTCGGCCGTCTCCGAGTACTTCTCCCCGCGGATCACCTCCGGCGCCGTCCAGCACGGCGTGCCGCACCGCGTCATCGTGGCGTTCTCCTCCTTGATGCGCGCGAACCCGAAGTCGGCCACCTTGACGTTCCAGTTCTCGTCCACGAGCAGGTTCGATGGCTTGAGGTCGCGGTGCACGATCACCGGGTGGAGCGAGTGGAGGTAGTTGATGCCCAGCGCCGCCGATCGCAGCATGCGCAGCTTCTGGCCGAAGGTGAGCTTGATGGCGCCCTCCGACAGGATGTCCTGCAGGCTGCCCTGCTTGACGAACTCGGTCACGATGCACAGGTTGGGCCGCTTCACGCACGCGCCGATGAAGAGCACGATGTTGGGGTGGTGGAGCTCGACAGGAAGGCCATCTCGGCGCGGAACTCGAGCATGCGCCGCTCGTCCAGCTTCTGCTTGATGAACCGCTTCACCGCCACGTCGACGCCCTTCCACTTGCCCCGGTACACCACGCCGTACGACCCGAGGCCCACCTGCCGCCCGAGCTGCACCTCGCTGAAGTCGATCACCCACCGGCACAGGTTGGCCGAAGTGAGGAAGTTGTCCTCCTTGAACATCATGCCCTCGCCCACCGCCGTCTGCAGCTCTCGGCCGTCATGGCCGCCCCCTCCGCTGTCGCCGCCGGAGGTGTGGTTGCCTCCGTCGGTTCGGCCCGACGAGCCGGTGTTGGACGAGGAGTGGTCGCCGTCGCCTGGGGCGGGCGAGACGCCGCCGAAGAAGCGGGCCTCGAGGCCGCGCACCTTGAGCTCGAACAGCTTCGACCCCGACGGCGAATCCGGCATCTCGAACCGACCCAGGCACTGGATGCGCTTGCTCTCCTCCCCGACCGCCGTGCCCTTCAGTTTGTTGAACACCGCGTGCGACAGCAGCACTTGGCCTGAGCGTGCCGTGAGTGTTGTGTGTCGTGTCGTGTCATCGTGGTTAGAGAATGGAAAAAAAGAGTAGAGGGACTGGATCGGTACCGCCGTGGGTGAGGGCGGTGATGCGGGCGGCGGCATTGACCACTGGTCCTATGTACTCCACGCGCCGCGTCATCGGGTCCTTGACCACACGCGGCTTGCCCCAGTGCACGCCCATCCGCACCCGCAGTCCCTTGAACAGCACCCTGCACGCGCCCACACAACCCACTCCACGTCAGCCCTACCATCGCCGCACACAAACAATCGCACACGCGCGACACGACACGAAACGACACGGCACGCACCGATCGTCGTTGTCGCCCCACTCCTCGGCGGCGCCAGGGTGGGCCACGAGCTCGGCGGGCCAGTCGACCTTGAGCAGCTCCTGCTGCACCTCCATGCACCACTCGAGCGCCGCGCTCGCCTCCTGAAAGGCCATGCAGAAGGAGCCCTCGCCGCTGTTGCGGTCGCGCAGGAACACCACCTCGTACCCGCCGTGCTTCTTGAGCACCGCGCGCAGCGTCTCGTTGTGCAGCAGCGTCGCGTCGCGCATGGCCATCGCGTTGCTGTCCCACAGCGAGGCCGCGCGCGTGATGTCCGAGAACACGATCGCCACCTCGCCCTCTGGCGCCCGCGCGCCCGCGCCAACCGCGCCTGCTGCGCCCATCGACCCGTCCGAGTCGCCGCCTGTGATTGTTTGTGCACAACCCGAGTGGTGGTCGTTCAGCAATCGGCCAACCCCTCGGTCCACGTGTGATTGGAGGGAGTACCCGAGGAGCTGGAGTTGCCGCCGCCGGAGCTGCTGGTGCCGGCCGAGGCGGTCCACGACGAAGTCATGCCGTGAATGGACGACCCGGTCGACGACGATCCGGTCTTGAACGACGACCCCTGTGCGCCCATCTCTGTCCCCATGTAGCAGCCATCGATGAGCCTCCTGCAACTGAGCGGGTTGGGTGTGGAGGGGGGGGGCGGGGGTACCGGTGCTGAGGCGGGTCATGATCTCGAGGAAGGCGGGCCGGATGACGGGGTCCACGTTCCAGCAGCTGGTCATGAGGGCCTCGAACTCGGCCGGCGCGCCGTGCTCGTCGGGAATCGTCGGCCGCAGGTTGTCCCGGATCACCGCCACCGCCACCGCCGCCGGGCTCAGCCCCGCGTAGGGCTGCTGCCTCGTCAGCAGCTCCCACAGGATGATGCCTGCGTCCACATCCATCAGCCCACCTGCCGCCGTGTGTTGCGTGCCGTGTGTCGTGTGGTGTCACGTGCCGTGTGTCGTGTCGTGTCGTGTCGTGTCGTGTCGTGTCGTGTCGTGTCGTGTCGTGTCGTGTCTTGTCGTGTCGGGTGTGCGGTGTGTCGTGTGTGTGTGGAGGCAGGGCGGACCGAAAGAGTAGACGTCGGCGAGGACCAGGTCGGCGCCGGGTGTCTCGTTGAGCACCTCGGGTGCGGTCCAGTGCACGCTGCCCGCCATGGCGCCGCCGCCCTTGGCGGTGCTCTTGATGTCCTCCTTGAACTTGGTGAGGCCAAAGTCGGACACCTTGACGTTCCACTTGTTGTCGAGCAGCAGGTTGAGCGACTTGAGGTCGCGGTGCACGATGCCCGACGAGTGGAGGAAGTGCATGCCCTTGGCCGCCTGGTAGGCCATCTTCACCTTCAGCATGTACGGGATCTGCACCACCAGCTCGTTTTGCAGCAGCTATTGGTTGTCGGTTGTTTGGTTGACAACCAATCGCGTGTGAGCAACAGTCATATTTACATAACATTCTGATATAAAAGTAATAAAATAGAACAGAAGAGGCGGCGACGTACGTCGAAGAGGGAGCCGAGGGCCATGAACTCCATGACGATGCACATCTTGGGCGGCTTGGTGGAGGCGGCCATGAAGAGGACCACGTTGGGGTGCCGCAGCGCGGTCATGACGCGCACCTCGTCCTTGAAGTTGCGCTCCATGTCGCGCGTCACGTTGGCCGAGGTCATCATCTTGACCGCCACCTCGGTGCCCTTCCACATGGCCCGGTGCACCTCGCCGAACCCGCCCGTGCCCAGGTGGGCGCCCATCTCGAGCTCGTCGGCGTCGATCTCCCAGTCGTCCTTGCCGCGTCGATTGCGGCGCGCGTACACGAACAGCGCCACGAGCGCGCACACGAGCACCAGGAAGGCCAGCGCGACGATGGGGACCACGACGGCCAGGGTGGCGATGAGCGCGATCTCTTCGGCGCTGCGGCCGAGCTCGTTGCAGTAGGTGCCCTGCCAGCCGGACTCGCACGCGCAGGAGCCCGCATTGCAGGTGCCGTGGTCGGAGCAGAGGGTGCCGTCGATGATGCAGCCGTGGAGCGAGCTCGCCGCCACGCCCTTGCACGTGGTCTCATCCAATACCGTGAGCAGTCGGCGCTTCACTGACGGGATCGTTGCGCCCACCACCACGCCAGCCCTATCGATGCGTGTGCGGCGGTGCGAGTGCGTGTGCGTGTGCGGCGGTGCGTGTGCGGTTAGTAGACGGTAGGATTGGTCGGTGGTGCGGAGGAGAGATGAAAGACGTACGCGGTGGCCATGGCGCCGGCTTCGGCGTTGGTCTGGGTCCAGTAGAGGTAGTCGAGCAGGCCCGTGGCCTTGGTACAGTCCTGGAATTCGCGCGTGTGGAATGTGACAAAGTTGACCAGCACCATCGGCCAGCTGTTCACTCCCGGCGCTGTGTTCGGTGTGACGTCAGCACCCATCCGCGTGTGTCGTGTCGTGTCGTGCAGTGTGCCATGTACGTACTGAGTGCGATGGCGGGCGTGATGTTGTCCTTGACGTCCTGCATCGCGGCGTTGATGGTGGTCGGATCGCACGCCACCACGCTGCCGGCGTCGTTGTACAGCTTGGCGGCCTTGAGCGTGCGCGACGTCACCACGTCGAGGTTGTGGTAGAAGCCGAACGAGTAGGGCTCGTTCACGAGGAGGTTGAACATGGCGTTGCCGCTGAGCGAGCCGCCCTTGGCCCGGCCCGAGTCCATGGCCGGGAACCAGCCCAGGTAGGTGGTCGAGTTGCCCATGGTCTGCTGCCACTCGGGCACCCGGCGGCTGAGGATGTCGGTGAAGAGCGCGGTCACGGGCGACGACGCGTCGGTCTGGTAGACGATCGTGATCGGCTTCTGCGGCAGGTCGTTGGCGAGGTGCGGATTCAGCTGTTTGAGGTACGCGTGGTCCCAGGTCTGTGTTTGCCCGCGCGGTGGTCAGAATACTCGAGGAGTTCGAAAAAAGTGGAAAAAAGCAACTAAAATTAATTTAGGTTATTAATCTTAATAAGGCAAATTATAATTAATTTGATTGCTTGCGCGAAGAGAGAAGAAGTAAGACCAGTTAAAGCTGGGCACAACAGCTGGTAGGCACGTGGGAAGTACCGTGATTTTGTTGAGAAGAATGTCGGAGATGGCCTGCCAGTCCAGGATGAGCGGGTCCTTGTCCACCAGCTCCGAGATCTGTGTGTGCGTGTGGGCCGCGGCTGGTGAGCGGCCGCTACCGAGGGACAGAGGGACCCAAGGGAGGAACTGACAACGCACATTGTACACGGGGAGGATGCCGTAGCCGATGGTCGGCACGCCTTCGCCATCGGGCACGAGCGCCTTCTGCGCGGGCGTGAGCGCCGTCGCGAGCGCAGCAAAGTCGATGTCACCTGAGCCAATCAGCACACACCACTGTCAGTATACGCGTGTGTGGGTGCGTGTGCGGTGGGCGGCGGTACCGGCGGCCATCTCGTTGAACGCGGTCTGGGACACGACGGCCGTGTACTGGACCTTGAAGGCCGTGCTCGGGTAGTTGGCCACCCAGTTGTAGTAGATGGTGTAGGGCGCGCCCATGCCCAGGAGCACGGCCGTCTTGAAGGCCTTCTGCCCGTTGCAGTAGATCGTGCCCATCGCGTCGATCAGCCGCCGGCGGTAGGCGTTGATCAGCGACGTGTAGCCCAGCGAGCTCGCCACCGCCGTCGCCTTGGCGTTCAGCTGCGTCCTGTGATGGTGGTGATGGTGGCGATGCTGACGTCAGCAACTCGGTTGAGGGTCATCGGCTGGCGAGTGGTGGAGCGTACCAGGACAGGAAGAGGAGGAGCTCTTGCACGTTGGAGCAGTCGGGCGTGGTGATGTTCTCGGGGATGAGGGCGAAGGTGATGAAGCTCAGCGGCCATGAGGCCGAGCCGTTGGCGTTCAGGATGTCCACCGTCAGGTCGCCTGGGGGCACCGCCCACACACTCACATGAGCACTCGCTTGGGCCAACAGCTCAGCAGCTCCGCCGCCAGCAACGTACCGGTGTCGATGGCGGGGCGGAAGGCGGCCATGGCGGCCTGCACTGCGGCCTGCGTGGGCGACACGACGTTGCCGGCGGCGTTGACCATGCGCGCCACGGTGATGCTGGCGTCATTCGCCTTGAACGACGTCATGTACGTCAACGAGTTGTTCTGCGTCTGTGTGCGTTCCAAACCCGCACGACACACGCATTGACGTTAGATGTGAATGAGACACACGCACGGGGGCAAGAGTGTTGCTCAAACCTTGACGTAGTTGATGCAATCGGCATCGGTCGGGAAGCCGAACGAGGTGCCGGCGGCCACGGGCGGGAGCGAGCCCAGGGAGCCGTTGCGAGGGAAGGCGCCGTTGGTGAAGATGTTGAGGGCGCGCTTGAACACGGTGCTCACGCTCACGTCGCCGCCCGTGCGGTAGCTGGTGAGGATGTCCGCGTCGGGCAGCCGCGCGGTGATGTTGGGGTTCAGTTCGAGGATGGCCGTGTCATTCCACCGGGTGATCTCGCCGCGCCACACCTTGGCCAACACACTCCCCGACAACACCTGCAAACATGTTGTGTTTTTTGGTTTTTGTTATGAAAAGAAAAGCGGAAAAAGTTTCGCCAGTTGATCATCATTCCAGATCAACAAAGAAGCGGTGGTTGCGGTTCATTAGAAAAAAATCGAAGCAAGTTAGCCGCACGTGGGAAAGAGGAAGGTGGTGGCGTACGAGAGAGTCGGTGGGGAGGAGGGTGGGAGGTTGTAGCCGATGACGAGCGGCAGGCCCACGATGGGCAGCTGCACGAGGCCCTGGACGCCGTTGAACTGGTCCGGGTCGAGCGCGGTGTCGACGCCGACAAAGTCGACCAGGTTCTGCTGGTACCGGAGCAGTGCCTGGTCGATGCTGGCGGTGTAGGCGAGGGCCACGTTGTCCTTCGAGTAGCCGTAGTAGGCGCCGTAGGAGTTGTACAGGTCGGCCGTGGCGGCGCCACCCGACCCGACCAGTTTCACGCTGAACTGGGCCTCTGCTGTGTTGTTCCATATGATGACCGCACCATGGAGGGTCACCGCAAGCACAACGAGGTGAGGTGAGATGACATAGATAGACATCAGCGAAAAGCAAAGCGGGAGCCAGAGCACATGATGAAGGACACAAGAGTTGAAGAGGATACAGGAAGATGCACAAAGAGCACTAGTTTAGCTTTTAGCTCCGAAGACGAAGAAAGGCCCCAAAGAACGAAGAAAGAGAGGTGGTACCGGAGAGTGCCGCGAAGATCAGAAGAAGAAGGAAAGCGGACGACAGCAGTGCCGGCGCCATGTAGGGCCGCTTACCAACGGTGGCACTCATGGCAACAACACAATCTAGGCTTGCTTCCTCCTCCTTCGCTTTCTTTCTGTTGATCTTCGACGCTGTCGGTGTCGCCGAGTGTGGCTGTGAAGTGAATGGGCCGGTCAGGATATGATGTGGTGCGGAAGAAGTGCGCCGTTGTACGACGATAACGGAGTGAAGAGACCGCGGTTGCTAACGGGACCCCATACGGCCGGACCCTGTCAACCCTGTCATTGGTTCATTAAATGGGCAAAATATGCAACTAACCAACGGACAAAAGAGCCAACAAAAGGCAAGACGAAGAAGGTCGTGGACTGGGCGTGGAGGAGATGTCGCTGAGCAAACAACCACTCCAGGTTATGGTAAGAGACTTGACATTAATGGAGGACCACGTGTTGTAGTTGTCGGACCACAAAAACGATGGGCAGTCGACCGGGTCGGTCAAGGCCGAGAGGGTTCTGGCGTGGTGCGGACGCGTCCCTTATTCGCCAACGAAGCAGTCCTTCCTTGGGATGTCGTCCAGCGCCTCGTCCCACTCGCACAGGGCGGCCTCGGGATCCTCGCCCGCGAGGAAAAGGCCCAACCTGGCCCCGAGCTCGGCCATCTCCTGCAGGACGCACGAATTTCAATAAGGAGTCGACGTCAACTTCATCTTCGTAGCACCATTAACACGCAACACCACATTTGACTCCGATTTCACAGGTAACAACAGCAAGCTGGTGTGGCAGGTGTGGTACCTTTTGCGGCTTGAGGGCTTCGTACTGGCCCCAGTCGGTGGTGGTGCTGCCTGCGGGCTCCGACAAAAAGTGCTCCAGCCACCTCCACTGATCTGTGCCGCGGCGTGGAAGCCACGGATTAGCCCGTGGGAGCGAAAGTGTTGAACGTTGGAAGGGCGGTACCTCTGGTTCTGTACAAGAAGGTAGCGGCGAGGGGGATGGTGTGAATGGTGTTGACCAGGAGTTGGGCGACCGCGATCATGAACAGACCGTTCCGCTTGTTGCCAGCGTCCAACAGGCCGCCAGCTGCCACCGCCACCAACCCCGTATAAGCTGTCGCCCACATCGAGCGACACAGACACAAGTTGGAGAGCGGGCCGGTACCCTTGGTGCCGAGGAGCATTCGGATCCGCCACTGCTGCAGGGAGTCCCTGATGGAGATCATGCCATAGAGCACGCGCATGAAATGGTCGGTCTGGTCGGGGCCGACGCGCGAGATGTGGGTCGCGATGATGTCCATGATCCAGTAGGAGCGGTCCTCGTCTTCCCACGAGATGTGCGCGTTGATGATCAGGTTGGTGTTGACGTTGTAGCCCTGCTTCAGCAAGCTCACATAGAACTCCTACACAACACCAGCGCACGCGCCATGTCAGCTGCCATGGCGCCAGAGCCGAGAAATTGTGTGGTGTGGCGTGTGCGTGCGTAGCATACCCTGTTGTAGAGGAGCGCAAGGCAGCGAGGGGTCGCCAGGGCGAGTTCGTCGTCCTCGGCGAAGCAGGTTTCGGGCTTGCGGTTCGACGCCCGGTAGCCCTCCGTGGCCATACCACGCACGCATGTCGCCAGAGCCTCCTGTTAAGCCAACGTTGGAGAACCAAAACAACCCGGTCAGACGGAAAACAAGGCATTGAGGCGTGGTTGGTCAGCGGCGCGACGTGCCATGAAGGTGGTGAGATCGGAGGAGACGGCCTTGTCGCCGATCTTGACCCTGGACTGCCCCTTCCTGTACGGCGAGAACTCGCCCATGTAGTAGTCGACGAGGATGCCGATCATGCCTCGACCCACCAAGTACATGCGCTGTGGTGTCGGGAGGGAGGGGCCTGTGCATCAGCAACGTGGCCCTCGAGAGGAGCACAGCTCGAAAAAGGTGAGGTATGGCGCCGTACCTCCTCGTGCCCGGCAGAACCGTAATCCCTGATGAGCGCCCAGTACTGGTGGAAGCGTCGCCACGCGGGGCGCGTCGCCTCGGACTATACGAACACGAGAGAGCACATACGATTAGAGGGCCGGCTGCTGTGTGTTGTGTGTTGACGGTGGGGTGCGTACCAGGGCGATGTGGTACTCCATGAACCGGACGTTGAGCGTTTGCGAGATGTAGGTGTACTGGGGCTCGGCCTCGGGGGCGGGGAAACCAGACACCTCGATCTGCGCCATTCTCTCCTGCCTACGCTCCGCAGCCCAAGAGAAAGAGAACCAGCGACTCAGTCCCGTCCGGTCGATTGTGGTGTGTGTGTGTGTGTGTGTGTGTGATGTGCGTGCGGGGGAGAACCGCACCTCTCCTTGGCCATGATATCGTACTCGTGGACGGCCACGGTCTTGAGGAGGGCGGCCAGCAGCTCGGCAAAGCCCTCGCGCACGTACTGGTCCTGGCAGTCGAGCATGTGGTAGCGGTACCACTTCTTGTGCTGGTCCATCAGGCTCACCAGCAACCAACGGGATGCCTGTGCAAACACGACATGTCACGGCCACCGAGGGTTGGTGGTATCAGATAACATGCTAAGTGTACCCAAGTGTAGGAGGAGGCACGTACGGGTACATGCTGGGTGTAGAGGTTCTTGAGGATCTTCATGAAGGACACGTAGAGCTTCTCCTCGCGTGCGCGCACGAGCGTGTCCAATGCGAAGAAGGTGGCCATCTTGATCACGAGGAACGAAGGATCGTCGTCCGAGGGCTCCTTGAATTCTGTGCGTGTGGGGGGTAACGAATCTTTGAGTAATCAAATGGCAGGAATGCAGAGAATTCTGTGTGATAAGACGTACCGTGCACCGGCGGCAGGGTGATGAGGGAGAGAATGTCGCGAACAAACTCGAGGTACTCCCTGTCGAACTGCTGCCTGTCCCTGTTGGGGTGCATTAAACGATAGCACGCGCGGGCAGTGGTCAGTGGGCATGAAAACATTCGTGTGTGTTGTGTATGTTGGGTTGGGGACTGCAGCTTACCTGACGACCTTGTGGTTCTCCTCCCACACGCTCTGGAGGACCTCGTCGGGGATGATCTGGGCGAAGAGGGAGTCGAGGTCCTTCTCACCGAAGCGCGAGAGGTCGAAGCACAGGGAGGGCGAGCGCTTGAGCGAGAGCGACGAGTCCGAGCCGGAACCGGTGGCCGACGAGATCGAGTAAAGCGAAGGCGAGGGCGTGAGCGTCGACGCCGATGCCAGCGAGTAGATCGACGGGGACTTGGACACGGGGCGCGACACGGTCGTCGGGGAGAGGAACTGTGCGCCGCCGGGAGTGCTGTCCTCTCCGGCATCCTTCGAGGCGTGCGCGGCCTCCTCGACAATGACGGCCTTCTCCTTGCCCTTGCCCTCCTCGGAATGCTGACCATGATCGCCCTTGTTGCCGGCGCTGTTGGGACCGAGCTCAAAGATCTTGGCGCTCGCCTCGTCCTTGTAGTGGACCTTCAGCTCGTCAGGAATCGGGAACTCCTCTGTTGAGTTGTGTGGGCGAGGTTTGTGGGTCAGCGAAAATGTGGAGCGTTGGCGCGCATGTTGAGGGCCGCGGGATGGGGGCGGACCAGGCTCGGGGTGCTTTCGCTGGTAGAAGAGCATGTAGGCGTTCTTGAGCTTGGGCTGCTTGGAGGTGAAGTAGGAGCTGTTGTACGAAGTCGACACCTGCTCACCGCCGAAGCACTCATCTCTCAGGTCCTTGAGGTCCCACGGGGCGACGTGCTTGTCGTCGAACAGATACCACTTGCCGCTGCCCGAAGTCCTCTCCTTGATGTACGAATAGTAGTGACCGGCCTCCGCCGTGCCTGATAGTCCAAACATCAACGCACGCCATGGTCAACATCAACGGTATCGCCATGGACTATCGTGGTGGTCGTCCAGTACCTGAGTGAACGAGCACGCCCACGAGCTCGTACTGGTAGTAGTCATGGGAACGCGAGAACTCCAAAGAGTCGTTGAACGAGTTGCTCGGATTGAATTCTGCGACACGTGTCAAGATCGTCAGCCATCACACTTGCCGTGTCAGCCACACCACTGATCTGGGATGACGAAAGGTACCTTCTTGGGTCTCGGCCTGTTCGCCGCCGCTCCTGTCCTCCTCCCGCTTCTTGCGGGCCTCGGCCTTGGCAATGCCTTCGGTCGTGTAGGGCTCCATGTCCAAGTCCATGGGGAACTCGAACAGGTTCGACAGCTTGGCTCGGAGCATGGTCGCGTAGTCGAAGTCGAACCGCTTCAAGTGGATGATGAGCGTGTTGGGCAGCTTCTTGAGCGAGAGCCTCTTGAGGGCAGCCTCCACCACCTTGCCGCACTGCTCGCACTTCCACTCGACCTGCTCGCCCTGCACGTAGTACGACAGAGCCTCCTGCAGGTTCGCCTTGCCCTGTTGCGCATTTGTGCGCCGTGCGCGGCCAGCGTCAGCTGCTGGCATACATACAGAGGGCAAGAGAGAGAGAGAGAGAGAGAGAGAACATGAGGGGAATGGAACAGTACCTTGATCTCAATGGAGATGACGGAGATGGGATCCTCTCTCTCCGAGAAATGGGAGGGGTTGTTGGGGCACTGAAGAATCTGCGACTCGGCTCCAGTGAAGTTGTTGAGCAGTTTCTCCTGCAGACCGAGAGAATGTTAGGGTGCTGCTCAGTACCCATGGGTGGCACTGACGTACGTATTCTGTGCCCTTGAGCTGCTCCTCGAGCCTCTCGCAAAGAAGGCGCAGGAACTCCTCCGCGTCCTGCTGCATGTGCAGGTCGATCGGGTTGCCGCCCCTGTCCTTGAAGGCCTTGCAGAAGGTCTCAGTCGGATCGTAGAACTGCCTCTCGCTGTGCTGCAGGTGGCAGAACATGTTCTTCAGCTGCATCAGCACGTTCTCGGCCGCCTCAGACACTGCAGCGTTGGGTGCCAACAATCACGCGAGAAGGTGAGTAGGACTATTCTTTCACGCCGAGCACTCTCATCAGCCCGGGCCGAGCGTACCGGTGATCTTGGAGGAGAGCAGGCCATAGCGAAGCGTGGGTGTCATGTAGATCTGCTGGAGGAGGGAGTTCATGTAGCAAATGCAACCGGGGTTGCGCAAGCCCACAAAGCCCGAGAAGTTCTTGCCCGACGGCCGTTCCCAGGTGGTCAAATCGAGCTCTGCGTCGCCATAAGCAGAAGAGGAAGGGCATTAGGGACGTTCACGCGCAGGGAATAGAGAGAGAGAGAGTTCAGTTACCTTTGGTGTGGTTGGGCACGATGAGCTGCAAGATCTCGTGGGCGTTCTCGGGCGAGTCCCTGGCAAGCTCCGCCAGGAGCTTGAAGCAACTGGGGGGGGGAACGGGGAGAGTCAGCACTAGCACGCACGAGCACAAGGATTTATAAATTTAAGGCCGCGGCACCTTTCTCTGGTCTGAGACGTCTTGCACTTGTTCTCCTCCTTCCACTTGATGTTCAGCGTGTTACGCGACGAGGCGAACGTGGGAGGCGGCGGGAACAGACAACGATTCCACAGCTCGTCGATCATGTTCAACCTGCACATGTGCGTACGCACCAGGTGCCATAGCAGTATTGGTCACCACCATTCGCCAACATAACAGACCGGGCAGGGCTAGCTACACATACCCTTCCTTGGCGGCGACCTTCCTCTTGATGGCGGAATTCTCGCGAAGCAGAGTCCTCACGATGTTGAAGAAGCCGATCAGCAGCTGATCGGGAGGACCGTCGCGGGTCTCCTGTTGTGTTTATTAAGGCAAGATTAGCATGATCTTACGATTGTGTGCGTGCCCGTGGCACTGTGAATGTACCTCCTGGACGGGGTGGTTCTTGATGCGGTCGATGGTCGAGTAGAAGAGGCCCTCAAACTTGGAGAACACCTCGGCACCGTTGGGGTGCTCCTTGAAGTATCTCTCGATGAGCAGGCTCAGCAGGTCGAAGAACTGGTCGCACGTGGAATTGATCGAGCCCTCGGGCGGGATGTGGCGCAGCAGGAGATCCAGGAAGAACCTCTGCGGAGGCACCAATCCCTCGGCCACTGCATACTCGTCGGGGCTGCAGCCCGTGCACCACACAGACGCCACAGACGAGGTCAAGGTGTCAGGCCACGGCCAGGAAGAAGGCTTAAGGGCGATTAGAGGCGACGTACTACTGGGAGCAGAGGACGTTGAAGTTGGCAGACGCGGCCTTGCGGACCTTCTGCTCGTAGTGGGCCAGCGTGACGTTGACGATGAAGTCCTCGATGGGCGTCATTTCCGCCGCCTGCTCGCCCTCGGGAAGGGTGATGGTGACGGTACCAGCAGCCTTGTCCTTGCGCCCCTTGATCTCGCGCTCCTTGGCGGCGAGGCCGTACTCGTAGAAGTCCTTCAGGTGGGCCGGCTTGGAGACGATGGAGTTTATCAACAGCTGCATGGCGTAGTCCACGATCTGCACGTCGTCGTTGTGGGGCGGGTAGCCCTTGCACGTATCGAGGATGATCGACACCATGGTGCCCAGGAAGTTGGGGAAGTCGATGGTCTCGATCAGCGCGCGCCCGGTGTTCGTGCTCAGCGACAGGGCCTGCCTGCCCTTCTTCTCCTTGCCGTCATCAGACTGGGCCACCGGCGCGGGCAGCATGGCAAGGTCGGCCAGTCCTCCTGTCATCATGAAGATAGGAGTCAGAAGACGAACATGAACGACTAGGGTACGTGGTGTTAGGTGGTCGAAGACATGCCTTGGATGAAGAAGTGGATGATCTTCAACAGCAGCTGGAGGCAGCTCTTGAAGGCGCGGCTGCTCTGGTTCCTCGTGAGGAAGTCGTCGTGCAGGACCAGGTTGAGAATGTGGTGGAACCCGTCGCAGTAGAAGAAGAGCTTGCACCACTCGTACTTCTCCTTCGTTTGAGCCTCCTACACGTGCGTGGGCCCAAGCGTGAGCGAAACAAAACACCAGAGACGAGCGAGCAAGCGAGCGAGCGAGAGCGCAAAGAGTCGTACGGTGTCCTTCTCGCCATAGGACATGAGACGATCGATGATCTGGAGGCAGTAGAGCATCTTGTAGAGCGAGCGCGAGTTGATGAGCTCATCCCAGTTGGGCGACCGCAGGGTCTTGAGCGTCTGTTCGATGATCGGGTTGGTGGGGAGCTCCATCAAGATTTCCCACACGCGGTCGCGGTCGATGTTGTCGTGGTTGAGGAGCTCAAAGAGCAGATCGAAGTAGGCCTGATTGTCGAAGAGGAACTTGCTGGGAGGGATTTCCTCCACCGCCTCGACGGCCGCCGCCATTTGGGCCTCGACTTCCTCGGCCTGCGCCGCCTCCGTCTCGAACTTGGCGGCCTCGGCCATGAGCTTGTCCTTGGTGCTGTCCTCCATCAGCGCAGACAGGGCGAGATCCTGCAGTTTGTGGTGACACGATTAGCTGAAGCCCCCAACGGACCCCACAAGCACAAGACCGCACGACAAAGCTTCGAAAGAGAGCTCCCGCACCATGTTGTAGTAGTTCTTTTCCATCGCAAGTACCGCAGCGACGGTGGAGAGTCCGGGAATCATCTCCTGCAAGAAGGCCACATCTTGCTCCTTGCCCTGCAAGTAGCAGCACCACAGGAGGAAATGAGTTAGTTACAGGAGAGCGCTTGTGTCAGCGAGAGTTGGGGGGGATCAAGTACCTTCCGCACTTGGGGAACGTTTTTGGGCGGAGGCGCGGCGACGACGGGCTCGAGCTTGGGCATGGGTCCCACCGCAGCCGGGGCAGCCCCGCCTTCCTTTTTCTTCTTTTCGTCTCTCAACTTGCTTTCTTGGAGGAAGTTCTATGAAAAGCGAAATGACACCACCCATCAATACACCAGTGGCAAGAAGCAAGGGTGGTGGAGAGGAGGGATAAGAGCACGCACCTTCAGCATGAAGATGAGCCTGTCGATTTGGTTCTGGGCGTTGGGCACGTTCTCACCCAGGGTGATTTGCTGGTGGGCCAGCTGCAGGCGCTCCATGCATCGGTCCACGAACGACTTGCGCACAGCGTTGAACTGTCTGGTGTCATCAACCTGCACACAGGGAAGAGCCATGGCACGGTGAGGACGGCAAGTAGGCATCGATGAAACGATGGGTGACCGATGCGCACCTTCTGGTAGAGAGCCACGAGGAGGGTCATGGATTCCTTGAACACCACCTCCACCGACGAACCCAGCGCCACATTCCACAGCTGGTCAAGGCCGAGAAGTCCGTCGAACTGGAGCACCAGGAAGTCGTCGATGGGTCCCTCCATCCTAAGGCTCCTGTGCTGTGAGTTGAGGCAGCAGAAGTAGCGTCGGAAGCAGTCGAATCCCATTCCCGAGAGCGAGGCCACATCCAGCTTGCCCAGCCTGTGCTCGAAGAAGTTGTCAACCATCACGCCCGTGATGGTGTTGGAGTTCTGCTTCGAGAAGCTCGAGCATATTCTGCACGTGGGTTCGTGAGCGTTGATTAGTGCGATGCCTTGGTGCAGATGGCAAAGTAAAATGCATACCTGTAGAACCAGCCCAAGGTGGTTTCCACTTCCTCGCGGGACATGCTGTTGAGTACGAGGGACTCCCACATGATGTCGGCCCTGTCCTTGGTCAGGCGAGCGATCGAATAGTCGAACACGAAGCGGATGAAGTCGAGACGTGTCGACACCTGCTTCAGGTGCGGGTAGCGTCCCTCCAGCACCGCGGTGTTCCAATCGACGTCGGCCAGACGCTCGTCGCCTGTTAAAGAAGAAGACGTTAAGTTAGCCCGGTTGTTGCCATTGTGTCATCGATGAGAACTGTCACGGAAACTTTACCAGTTTCGGCGGCGGTGGACAGGATCTCGGCTCTCCGACGAACGCAGGCCTGCTTGTAGAGGGCCAGTTCGCGGAAGAGCAGGTCCACCAGGCCCACCTCGGACTTCAGCTCATTGACCACCTTCTGGCGCGAGTTATCGGTGCCCTTTATGGTCCTCATCTCTTTGTCGTCGTGATAGTGCTCCTCTGCAAAGGAAAAACCACGATCGATGAGCGCCATGTGAAAGAAGAATGCGCAGACACGAAAGGAGAAGGACTGCGTACGGAGCACTTTCTGAAGAAGCACGATGGACTGGTGCACTGACACTCGGTTGCGAATGTGATCGCAGAAGATCTGGATGAGCATGTTGCGGTGGATTCGCAGGTTGTACGCAGAGACGACCTTGCAGAGTTGGCTCAAGGCCGCGTCCGCGATCGACTGCTCCACCTTGGAATCGTCTTGCACAATTTGCCACAGGAGATTCATGGTGCGCAGCTGGCGATCACGACAATGGCAATGCCAGGTGTGAGACCAATGCCCACACCACTAGTGGTGGGAGCCTTGCCTGGGGCGCGTACCTTGATTTCGGTGGATGAGGGGTAAGAGCTGTAGGTATTTTGGAACTGTGCAATGAGGTTGATCGTGCGCGGGGAATACTCGGCAAACGGGATCGAGTGGATCAGTTGGAGCAGGTAGTTCTGGTGCTCGGGCGAGAGATTGCTCGAAATGGCGCCCAGCACTTCGTAGACCGCCGGCTCGGCGTGCTGTGTGGCGGTGGCCTTCCACATCATATCCAGGTGCCCCTGTGATTGGGAAAGGCCTGTTGTGAGGACCTATTTGTTGCATGGGCGAACGCGGCGGAGCATAATCATACCTGATTCAGGAATTTCTCGCTCGCCATGAACTTGAGCAGATTCTTGGACCGCTTGATGAGCTCCGGGTGCATGTCCGACAGCTTGGACTGGAAGAGGCGCTCGATGATTTGGTTCTCCTGGATCCACGCCAGCAGGTACTTGCTGTCCATCCACCTTGAGTGCGCGCAGGTCACCGTGAGTAGTTGCTCAGGTCAGTACTAGTGCCAAGCCCTGCAAATGTTGTTTTGTGCGGCATACCTGGCCACCTGAGGCGCTCTGTACGTAGGGTTGGTGTAGCCGGTGTAGGACATCCCGTCGTCCCATTGCTGGTACTTCCTTCTCTGCGTCATCGAAATGGCCTCCTCGATGTAGGACAGGCCGTGCAGTCTGGGAAGGCGTAGGCCGTTGCAAACGCGTGTGTCAGCTTCGGGTCGGTCATGTATGGACTAACGGTACGTACCGCTTTTCGAGGTTGGTCGAGCGGAAGCACTTGAGGGCAAATGCCAGGCAGAACCTCTCCGACTTCTCCCAGGTCTCGGTGTAGGCGTACTCCTTGAGGATGGCCTCGAAGTGCCGCACGATCTCCTCGACGTCCTCCTTCTTGACGGTACGTAGCTCCTCATCGCCCAGCCCCAGCATGATCGTGAAGATCACCTCCAGCTGTGGCAGGAACGCCTTCTGCAGGCTCGGGATGAGGAACTCCCGCATCTGTGATGTCGAGCGGGATCACATTAGCTTTGGACATCCAAAGTGAGAGGAGAAAGGGGCGAAGGTGGTTCTGCCTTGTTCCACGCCATGATGTGCAGCTTGATGAGCGGGACGGAGAGGTGCGGCTCAGTGTTGTTCACTCGTGTCACCATGGCCTTGAGACCGCCCTTGTTGGCGAAGTAGTTGACGTTGTACACCAAGAACCTGGACGCGCGCATCGTTTTCTGCAATGGGGTGGATAGGCGTCATAACGCGTCAGTCCTGGACACTTAGTGCAGCCTTCCAGTGCTTGCGACGTATACCGACGGTACGGCGAAGTTCTCCAGCGGCTTCTCGGCCTTATTCTCGTCGTTATGGGATTGGAGCCTGGCGTACAGCAGATCCTAGCGATGGCAAAATCGAGCGTTAGCGTTTCGGTCGAAACCGAGAGCAGCGCGTACGGGAGGAAGGAGGCTGCTTACCTCTTTCTCGTAGGGATGGTAGTAGTAGGCGCGGTTGTCATCGAAGATACGGTTCAGCGTTTCCAGCAGTTCGAGGTTGTCTGCGGGCATCGTGGCAATGATGAGGTCCAGCACGCGCGTGAAGAACTCGTTCGTGCGCAGGAACTGGTCGTCGTTGTCCTTGAACCTGTATGGTTAACAAGTTGGAACTGGTCAATCTTCTTACTCCAATTGATTGCAGTGAATGAAAAAATGTGTGATTGAATTTAAACTTTTAAAATAAAAAGAGAGAGCAGCTAACCTGCGCCTGGTGAGAACCCTCACGACTGTGGGAAGGCCCTTATGCAGGAAGAAGGTCTGGTGCTCGCGGCTGAGTGCACAGTTGCCGCTTAGCAGGCTTGCCATAACGCCCTCCAGGCGGGCGAGATGTTGCGTTGGGTCAAAAGACTCTGAAGTACAGGTTGCGTGAGTGGCAGCTGCGGGCGTAATAAGGTGGCGTGTGCGTGAAGTACCTCGCTCCAGCTCCTTCTGCATCTCATCGTAACGCTTCTCGTAATTTACATCGTCGACGATAAGCGCAGGATCGATTTGCATCGTTTGCTGTACTGACGTTTCCACCACCTCCTTGGGCGCCTCCTCGTTGGAGAGGTCGGTGGGCACTGGTGCGGTAGTCCCACCCTCAAGTTGCTGCTCTTGCTGTTCACTCATCTTGCTGCGAGGCCTGAAGGGAGGCTGTGGTCAATTCAAAGATGTCCATACCATTAAAAATCCATCACAAGGCCGTCTCCATGCGAATTGAGAACTCGGGGAAGGGGGGCAAGAGCTCTACCTCCTTGGCGCTTGAGGAAGACAATCTAACCCAAGCGACTTAGCCCCAGCAAGACAAAATAATGATGATGTACAGGGGAGAAAAAGACCAGCCCACCAGCACGTTGAGCAATTTTCGCTGCAGCGAAATTCGCGCAACAGCACCCGAGCAAGCAAGGAAAATAAAGATAAAAACGATTTAGGGGAATCGTTTCGCATGAATGAATGCCAGTGTTGTTGGCGGTGTGTACAGATGAGACCTTTGGGGGGCCTTTACAAATCGTTGAGGAAGGCATATTCCTTCTTGATCTCCTCTTCTTCTTCTGGTGTGAGATCTGCCTTGATGCCAAATTTTTGTCGAATCTCTTCTGCTGTCGTGCATGCGCGGATCATGAGCCCCACAGTTCGGCCTGGTGTGCCCACAACAACCGTTAGCACCGTGAGCCAAAGGAGGCGGAAGGGGCGTACATACATGCAAGCTCAAGAAGCGGCTTGATGTCCAGATAGTTCTGCACGAACATGAGATTGAGTAAACGAGGTCCTCGTGGATGGCGAAAGTGGGAAAGTACCGCAGCTAAGATGAGACGGTACAAGACGACCTGCTCCACCTCACAGAACTTGCGGTCCCACTCCAGCACACCATCTGCGCCCTTTTGATCGCCCGAAGGGTTGGGGTTGGCGTGGTGCCACGAGCAGTACTCGAGCACCTTGGCGAGGGTGGCGCTGTTGATGTTGGGCAGGGGGATGGGGCTGCCCAGGTCGTCTGGATCGTCGGAAATCACGTCCACATCCTCCAGCATGTGCGCTATCGTAACTGACATCTTAGCCACCTCAGCGGGCACCGTGACCACCTCTCCATCTGAACTCTCAAGCTGCACCGACATCCTTCTTGTTATTTCAATTAATTTATAGCAAAAAAATACAACTAAATAAGTGCCCTTGTTCCGTTCGCTTCACTTCTGCAAGACGACCACGCGTTCGTAGGGCATCCTGGCGTTGACAGTGTCCATGATGATGCTGATGTTCTTTCGGTTCTGAAACATGTCGCCCTGCCCTATTCGCGAGATGCTGAGCGTGTGCACCACCGTCTTGCCGTCCACAGTGGCGAACGTGAACGCCAGATCGTCCACGAACTTGAACACCTTGGTCGAGTGCGTGCCCTGCAGCCACATCACCAACCGTCTCAGGCCTGAGCCAGCACAGGAGAGAAGGATGCGACACGCAATACTTACGTAGACGGTGAGCTCGGCGTTTGCGACCTCGTGATCGTGGTAGGCGTGCCTGACTGAGTGCTGGTCGCCGTGCCGTTGGAAGAGGTGTTGCAGCTCCGCCTCGGCCGTGATGTGTGCATAGCGTGGTGTGCTCTCGAGTGCCTCCACTATGGCAGCCCGTATGGCATCCTTCACTCCCCCCCCCCCAACCGCGCTATTAGCGGCAAGTGAGGGAAGCAGGAGGATACAGTACCGCTTGTGCGTCGTCAGGAAAAATGTACTCGGCCTCGTAGATGTGAGACAGCCAGCCCATCTTCAGCAGAAAGTTGATAAAAAAGCACAAAAATAAAACAACGGCAAAGCTGAGCTGGCATCGCGTCATCTGTTAGTGTGCGCAGCCCACTGGACAAAAGCAGGACGCTACTACTTCCTTCGCAACTACTTCATGTACGCGTCAACTTCCAGACTGAAGGGCCGTGTACGGCCGGGAGTACGTCTTCAAATTGAAGAATGTATTCGGTGGATGCACCTCCACCGCCTTATTCGACATGGTCGGCGATGGTGATGTGGAGGACACCGTTGCCGAAGGAGGATTTGGGAACGGCGTTAACGTCGACGCTCGCAGGAAGCGTGCCGCGGACCACGAACTGCCCGGCGGCTCGCAGCTGCGTCAGGTAGTGCACTCCCGGACTTGATCGCGTTCCTACACCACACACCACACCGACAATGTCAATGACAGTGACAAACGAAGCGGCGCGGCACGGCAAGAAGGGGTACCCTCGAGCTGCCACTTGCGGGTGGCCTTGCTGAAGGTGAACTTGGGCTCCTCCACGACGCCCGGCACGTCGAACACGAAGTGGACAAAGTGGTGGGGGGCGTTGGGGTTGGAGGGCTGGTCGGCGTCGCGCCACATGTCGTAGACAGGGAAGGACGCAGCTGGCTTGAGCAAAGCCGAAGACGACGAAGAAGGTGATGAACCGATCAGCGCCGCTCCGCCGCCGCTCACCGTCGACTTGTTACTGGTGCTGGCCTTGGGCGTGGAGAGGAGCAAGGTCGCCGCATGCTGCCGTCGGGCCACTTCGCGCTCCCAGGCGGCACGGAACGACTGGTCGTTGAGGTGCGGGAACGAATGGCCGACCAGCTTCTCCAGCTTCTGGAACGCGTCGGAGTGGGCGGCGAAGAAGGGTCCGCGCATACCCAGCCAGTAGCTTCTCGTTCGCTCCCGCCTGGTCCAGGCCTTCTTGTCGAACTCGATCTTGCGCCTCTTGCGCGACTTCTCGGGGAGGGGCGCTGGCGGCGCTTCGTGGACGCCTCCGTGGTGGTCAGCGGGCACCGGCGGGGGAGGCGGCGGCAAGATGCCGGCCGCTTCATCGCTGCTCCGCTGAAGAGCCTCGCGCAGCTCGTTCAGGCGGTATTTGGCCCGCTCCTGCTTGCGCTGCCTGAATCGTCGAGGCACCACGTTGTCGTAGAGAAAATCGATCTCGTCCACGAGCACTTGGTAATCCTGCGCGTTGATGGTCGGGTAGTCGAAGAAGGCCTGGAAAAAGGTCTTGGTCATGTCGGCCCGCTTCGCCTCGTGCGCGGAATCATCGTCATTTGTCATGAGCGCATCGTCGTGATTGGGATCGTGCGAGAACACGAAGGCGGGGGTGGTCGCATCTAAATTTCCGTGATCGATTTCTGCATCGCCCAGCTGGCCCTGGCTGTGTCCCTCCACTACGTGTTCTTCCCCACCGCCGCTGTGCCCGAAGGCCATCCATCCTCCGTGTTCATGTCCATCGTCCTGGTTCTCTGGATCTGAATCCGGCGCGACACCAACCAGATCCGTAACGTGGTGAGGCTGCTCCATTGCTGCTCCTTGTGGCTCTTGCGCCAAGCTGCGCGTTTGGTGAACGTTTGAAAAATGAAATAAAATTGTTTTTGTTGATTTTCCTTTTGGCAACAAATAATATAAATAAATAAATAAATAAACCAACGGCAAGCAAGGAGAATAAGCCAGAAGGGTCTTTATAAATACGTGTGCACGGGCTGGTACGATGCAATTGTCCAAACAATCTGTTTCCATAAGTGCGGTAGTTGTGGTTGGTGGTGTTATTGAAGCGTGATGTGGGGCTGTGGGTTTCTCTCCTGGATCAGAAGCTCCTGGTTGGCGTGCCATCGTTGTGCTGCAGGTACTTCTCGAAGTGCTTGCTCGCGTTCTTGATGTTGAGGAGGGTTGCTGTTGATTCTGGTTCAGGAAACGCGCGGCACGATCACACACGTGATGTGAGTGGTGTAGAAGGTGAGATGGCGGTGAATGGAGAGGTGGACGGGGTAGAGGTACGAATGGTGGGATCGGACATGATGACCATCATGTAGGTGTTCTCCGTGAAGAGGTCGATGAAGGCGGCAAAGTGAGAGTTCCGCGCCTCCATGTCAGAGAAGTAAGAACCAAACTTACTGCATTGCGAGATCAGCGTCAGTCATGTACACGGAAAAAGTGAAGTAGAAGGAGCGAGCGAACCTGCAGCTGAGCTTGAACTGCTTGATGATGTTACTGATCTTTTCGAATCGGTGGACGTCCTTGTGCTTTCGCGAGGAGGCGTGCGAGATGACGAGGAAGGTCGCGCGCTCGAACAGCACCACTTCATCAGCCTCGCAGATGGAGCAGAACTTCTGGAGTCGCCTCTCGATGGTGTCGATGTTGGGGATGAGCGCGTACACAATCGAGGACCAGGCCTTGTAGAGGGTCTCGTCCCAGATCGACGTGGGGAAGAGCGTGATATTCATCGGCAGAGATGCCTGCTTGAGCTCGCTCTCCTTCTGTGCGAATGTCTGTGATTGCGGAGAGATGCATGCGAGAAGGAAGAAGGTTAGGAGCGAGAACACCTGGGGAAGAGGAAGGAGGACGTCACCTTTTCTCGTTGATCTTCGGGCACGAGATCCATCTTGTGCATAAGACAAAAGATCTTGGCAGTGGGCGAGTTCTGTTGGATGGCGTCGAGGCAGGAGTGGTAGTACTTCATGTCCTTCTGCTCGTCAATAAAAAACAAGGCGAGAGATGTGAGATGAACAGTTCACGACGTTGGCAGATGAGCCGTCTGGCAGTACCTCAGCGCAGCTGCTCTCGACGTCGAACACGTAGATGAGAACCTCAACGTTGCGGAAGATGTGATCCCTTTGGTTGGAAAAGTAGTTTTCCATGAATGCCTCCTGACCGCCGCAATCCCAAAGATTGAGGGCCAGATTGCCGAGGAACCGGACGTGCGAGTGCTCAACATCAACTGTGTTCGTGGAGATCGGGTGAGGCAACAAATCACAATGAGGTGAGTGATGATCAAGAATGAAGTAAGTAAAAGACAAATTTGGTTGTTGAGGGCGTACTGGTGGCCGCTAGTCGCGTTGTGTCGCGGGCGATGTAGTTGGCGAAGATGATAGACCGCATGGAGGTCTTACCCGACCCACTCTTGCCCATCAACAAAACCTTTGCCGCATAAATGAAGAAATTAATTTTTCAATTCACGCGAATCTGGCATGCATCCGAGAACCAGACAACGCAAGATCATGCAGGCGCACCACAAAGGGGCAGTACCTTCTTTTTCATCATCTTGGAAGATTACTTGATGGATTCAGCAGCCAGCTCACGAAAACACGCCGATCAAGCAGGCTACACAGACAAAGGGGAAAAGGAATGAGAAGAAATAGATAAGAAAATTGGCGAACACCGCGCATTCCAAGCATTCTATGACTTATCTTCTTCATCCGCAGGCGAACACGAAGTAGAGGCACAACGCCGTTGAAGATCAACATGGACAGAGAGGAGGAAAGCATGCAGGCGCTGGAGGAGCACCTGCAGCGCGGCGGGTTCGACCTCAGCTCGCTTTCGCTCTCCACCTCCTACCACCAAACCGGACGCAGGGGCACCGTGGTAATCGGTCGTGCCAAGAACGCCGCATCCCTTCCATCTTCCGCCACGACCCCCTCCCCGCCTGCACTACTCGTGGACGAAGCACCGAAGCTCCAGCCTTCCTTTTCTTGGACTTCGCTCTTTCCCGAGCTTGGCACAGATTGGCAGTCCCCACCAGCCACCTCCTCTTCATCTTCCACAGTTTCATCCTCTTCATCTGCTACCACAGCGCGACCACTCGCTTCCTCCACTTTATTATCGGCACCGAGTAGTGGGCGAGTAGGAGAAGGGGGCGGCGGGAGCAATGGGAACAGCCGCGAGGGCTCGTTTAGGTCCGATAGGGACTGCGATGGGGAAGAGGCGCTGACAGGAGTCAAACTCGAACCGGCCGCCGAAGTAGAGGAGACCTCCCCCTTTTCATCTCCCTCTTCATCTTCTGGCGTTGTGCCGACCGCAGCATCCACAGACTCGGTAGCACCCACCTTGGCACCAACCACACAACAGACCCCGGGGACCCAACCACAGGCCCAAGCCGACCGCGAGGCCGCCCGGCAGCGGCGGCGACGTCGGCTCATGCTCCGCAAACCCGACTCGGCCCTCGCCCTTGGCCTGTTCGAGCACTACTTCAAGCTCGAGGTCCGTACCACCACAATGTTGCCTTTTCTTGCCGTCCGATGAATTAAAATGCCGTATCATGATACTACCACTCGCGGTCGCAGGTGCAGGTGCCGGGCGGCGGAGGCGGCGCTGTGGAAAGGCAGGCGTTCCTGATCCCTCAGACCTATTCGGTGGACCAGGTCAAGGTTCGTGGTGCTGTAGTGTGCTGCCTCGCAGACGCCTGCATGCCGGTCGGCGCTGACCACGCCGACCTCTTCCTTTTCGTCAACACACAGAGACATGTGTTCAAGTACGGAGACGGCTTCGGCGACCTCTGCCCCGACGACTTCCAGCTGGGTATCGCCGACGTACGAGCACCGCCCACTTTCCACACATTCCTGCGCTCTCGACACTGACGTTACTGGCCCGTTTCACTGACGATTGGTCCCCAGGACCAGCGCTTTACGATCGAGTTTGCCGTGTTCGTGAAGGCTCACCCGACGATCGTGGAGTCCTTGAAGAACGGCGAAGCTGCTGTGGTCTCACTCTTCCCCTCTACCACCGGCAGCTGGACAGGCGACACCTTTCGCCGAAGGTGCCGCACAACACGACACTCGCCGCTCGCACGCACGCTACAATGGGCTGACGTACCGTTGTGGGCAAGTGCAGGTCGCAGACGCTGCAGAGGATGGAGGCGCAGACCGCGGAGAAGGGCTCCCGAATCTTGTCGACGGCGGCCAAGTTCGGCGGGACGACCATCATCCAGCCCGTCCACAAGAAGTCCCTCAGCGATGAGCTGATCGACCGCGCGTTTAACTCCGAGCTCTACCGTGGCCCTACCGACCAGGGAGGCTCCCCCGATTCCAAGGCCGGTTGGCGCAAAACTCGACCCACCACGTACGCCACCTCGCCTATGGCTTTCCAGTATGTGCCTAAGTTGTCGTGTGTCGTGTGATCAGCTTCTTCGCCCAGGGTGCCGCGGAGGGGTTGGTTCCTAATGCCACCGCCCAATCGCCGGAAGCCCTGATGGCAACCTACGACAGGAACAATGCACCGATCGTCATCGTCTGCCCGGGCTACCTGGTCGAGAACGATGCCTCGTCGGCACACGTTCGCCCCACCAACGGGTCACATTGGAAGCTGTGCCAAATCGACGCGCGGCAGCTGCGACTGGAGGAAACCATCTACGACGCCTGCAGCTACAACCGATTCTTTTACTCCAAGCGTACGCCCATTGCCCTCTCCCTGAACACCGGGCCAAGATTTAACTCCGAACGATGTGGCTGAGCAGACCATGTCAACTTTGGCGGGGTGCACAAGACGGAAGGGCCGCTAGTGGTGTCGCTCCTCAAAACGCCGGTCAACGTGGCAGCCGACGATGCCGCTGTACAGAACATCGACAGCAACAGCTCCTCTTTCAAGACCAAGGCGCAGCGATTCCGCGTCCTCGTGTGGTCTAAATACGTACATATGCCCTTCTACGATCACCACCGCGTGGAGGGTCACTGGCAATCAACTGAAGGCCGGCCAATGCCATCGTTTCGCTATGTTCAGGGAGAGAAGCAGGCACTCGTAGCGTGGAGCCAGCGACTCCTGGGCGCCAGCAGACCGCCAGGCAAGCGCCTCCTTAAGTACGGCCGCAGCCACCGCACGCGCCAAAGCACACAAGCGCACTTGATTATCTAACAATGCCTCTCGTGTCGGCTACTTACTCAGAGCGCTGCAAAGCACAAGCCCTGAATTCTTGGGCCAGGTCGACTTTTACCGACTCGACCCGCAGGCACGCATCCCTTCAGCGCGCGTTTGAAGCCTGGCTCGATTGTTGACACAAAACTGGGGCACGTACCGCGCAGGAAAAGGTGGCCGAGGAGTTGCTCGAGATGGAGCTGAAGCAGGTGGTGTCCAACTACAAGTTTGGCATCCTCTACGCCAAGGAGGGACAGTACAGGGAGACCGACATGTTCTCCAACGGTACGTACCATCACCGCCGCATACGCACTCCCTTCCCAAATTCCCAAGCGCTGATTGTGTGCTGTCGCGGGCGTTCAGAACACGGGAGCGAAGCGTTCGAGCACTTTCTCTCGATGATCGGTGACAAGATTGCTCTCGAGGGGTGGACACAGTACCGAGCGGGCCTCGACGTCCGCAGTGCGCCTCCCGCCTCGCCCCTTCTCCCTTATTTCTCTTCGCTCAACTCTCCTTCGTTCTTCTTCGCTCTTCTGTGCTTGCAGTCAATGCGACGGGCACGCACAGCGTGTACACAACGTGGGAAGACTATGAAGTGATGTTCCACGTGTCGACGTACCTGCCCTACGACGACAAGAACCGCCAGCAGCTCGAGCGGAAGCGGCACCTCGGCAACGACATCGTCGTGCTCATCTTCTCCGACGGCAACACGCCCTACCTGGCCAACGCCATTAAATCCGAATTCAACCGTACCGCCTCCCCCCCCGCTTCCAGCTCCCAACCTCATCACCTTTACATTCCGCAACTCTGCAGATGTCTTCATCGTCGTGCAACCCGTCAAGCTGCCCAGCGGCGCGGTGGCCTACAGGTATGGGATCGCCGAGATTCGTGTGTTGTGCGCATCCGCCTGACTTACTGTGTCTCGTGGTGGCGCGTGCGCAATGGGGGCAGAGTGGGCACCACGTACAAGGAGGGAGTGAAGAGGTGCACGCCCCACCTGCCCGACCCCAACGAATACGTCTTCGCCCACGGACCCGCGTTCCGCGAGTTCCTCCTCACCAAACGTACGCCTTCCCCCCCCCAATTAACAGCTCTGATGGGTCATCTTGTTATGTCATCTGACTGTGGCTGGTGGTGCGGTTCAGTGATCAACGCCGAGCGGGCCGCCTACTGCGCGCCCTCCTTCGCGGCCAAGATCAACCGAACGAAGACGATGCTCCTCGAGGGCCTCCTCAGCGACTTCCCTCCGCCCGTGAGCGGCAGCTGATTCCCACCGCGCCCCGAGTACCATCTCTTCTTGGGCTCGCTGCATGTAAACGTTGATTGGTGGATTCTATTCTAGAAAGTGACCCATTGGTTGTTTTTAACCACCGACATTCTGGTTTGGTCCCCCACTTGCGGGCAGGGCGGGGCAGGGATAGTCATTAGACGGAGAGCAGCCCCGGCATTCCTCATCAGAAGCGCAGGCCGCGACCACCTCCTCCCTGGGCAGTTCGGCTGGTGGTGAGCAAGAGGTGCACAAATGGCGCTGTGATCCTTCGTTTTAAGCCATCATTGTACCGCGCACGTCTGCACATGCAGACGCCCCCCGTGTGGACAGCAAGCTTGTGGAGCTGCTGTCCACACCCCATCCTAATCAAAGAAAACCAACAGATTGCTGACATCAACGAGCAATGCTCGTCATCGTGATAACAAGTATTACTTGTTTGTCGGTGGGTCGAGAGCAACGCTGTTGATGTGTTGATTTAGGCGAAGAGCTGGTCGCGGCCGTGCGGGGTGGCGAAGTCGATCTCGGGGCCGGCGGGCACGATGCCCAGCGGGTTGATGCGCGGGTGGCTGCCGAAGTAGTGCTCCTTGATCTGCACCAGGTTGACCGTCTGTTGTTTGTTTTGCGCAGAGTCTGGTGGTAAGCCGATGTACGACACGCAACACGCAACACGCAACACGCAACACGCAACAGCGCAGCCAGAAGAACACACACCTCGGCAATGCCGGGCCACTGGTAGACGTCGCGGGTGTAGCCCCACAGGTTCGGGTAGTCGGCGATGCGCTTCTTGTTGGTCTTGAAGTGCTCTGCGCTCGGGGCCACAGGTCACAGTGAGCAGCGCTGCGTTTTCGTGGGGGGGCGAGGACAATGGGCGAGGGGACGACACGTACGGACATAGACCGGGTCGAAGCGGACCAGAGTCACGAACAGCCTGATGTCGGCCTCTATTGTCATGGGTGGTCAATGAGCGATTCGTGATGGTTGTGTGTTGTGTGTGTGTTGTGTGTGTTGTGTGTTGTGTGTGTTACCGTTGGGCTTGTTGCCGCCCAGGAAGCGCGTCTTGGACAGCTTCTCCTCGGCGTCGTCGAGCGTGGCGAAGAGGACCTGGAAGGCCTCCTCGTCTGTGTTGAAGGGGGGGGGTGAGTCAACTCTGGGGCGCGCCGGGGCGGGGGCGGGTCGGGTCGGACGACGTACAGGCGGCCTGCGAGGTGGCGAAGCCGCACTTGTAGACGCCGTTGTTGATCGTCTCGTACATCCACGTGTTGAGGGCGTCGATCTCCTCCCTCTGCTCGGCCGGGTACAGGTCCACCTCGGGGTGCTGCCATCGCGCAACCCGTCAGTGACCGGAACCACACGACACACACGACACACACGACACACACGACACGCGTGCGGGTGAGAAGAGAGAAAGGAAACCTTGGCGAAGGCATTGAATTCGGTGTTGAACATGCGGATGATCTCCGAGCTCTCGTTGTTGACGATCTTCTTGGTCTGCGAGTCCCAGAGCACGGGCACGGTGTACCTGTCGGCGTACTGCGGGTCGTGGAGCTCGTACAGCTCACGCATCGACTGCAGCAACCCAGCAACAACCCAAATATTAGCGCCGCGTTGGACGACACACGACACGCGCACCACCGCACACGCACGCACGCACACATGACACACCGCGCGGGGGTACCTTGGTGTTGTTCAAGCCGTCGTTGGTCTTGCGGCCACCGATCTCCTGATCGCTGAACACCCAGCTCTTGGCGCCGGTGGGTTCGTCGATGACGCCCCAGCGCTGCAACGTTCGCACACCGTGGATTAGCATACCGCAGTGCGTGTGCGTGTGCGTGTGCGGTGGTGCGTGTGTCGTGCGTACCGGAGCAACGGTGTGGACGGGGATGGCGTCCTGCAGACCCTTCAGGCTACGGAAGGCGAGACAGCGCGAGGCCCACGGGCACGCGTAGGACACGTACAGGTGGTACCTACACCCGGGTGCCAAACAAACAACCGCGAGTGAGCCATCGATCACTCTCTTCGAGGAAACGCGACCGGTAATTGACGGACCCGCCAACGGAGGCGAATAGAGGAGGAGAGGAGGAGCGGGGTCGTCGTACCGGCCGGCCTCTGCCTTGTAGCCGGAGCTGCCGTCCGCGGTGACCTTGTCGCGGAACGAAGTCGGCTTTCTGCGCGAATGAACACGTGGGCGCGTACGTGGGGTTAATACAATGTTTGTTGGCCTAATTGGAGCATTTTACCCATTTAAGTACAGTTAAATTATTTGTTGGGAATTCTTTTTTCGGATTAACCTATTCTTGCACACTTTTTTTAGTTCTGCCTTTATTTATTTTTTTAATAATATGAGATTTAATAAGTGATCATGAATTGAAAATAAAATAAAATAAAATAAAAATAAATAAAGGCAGACTAAAAATCCATAAGATGAAGGCACCTCTCGAAACGGCCAGTGGTTTTGTCGTTCTCCTGGAGCGAGTTGAAGATGCGCTGCGTCGCCATGTCGTTGTTGGTGTTGTGTGATGTGTGCGTGCGGATAGATGGAAAAAGGTGGTGCTTGGTCAAGCTTGAAGCTTTTTGGCAGTGTGTGCCCGCTGTCGCCGTTTATTGTCCTGGGAAGGAATTCGAATAATGGAAGCTTCCATTATTCGAACCCAACAAGACGACTGTTGATGAGCATCATCGACCTGTGGCGCTGCTGTGGCCAACGCCGGCGCCGCCCGACGGTCCCGGATCTTCTTCATCGCCATCGGCGGTGTTGATGGTCAGGCCGTCATTGCCGTCGTCGGCGCCGCCGCCGAAGTCGGAGGAGCGAAGGCTGAGCGGGACGATGTCCTTCCCGCGCGCGTCCCACAGGCTGATCTCCTCCGTTGGTTGGTTCGTGCCGTCCAGGAGCGCCACCTTGTCGCCCTCGTCTTCCGCGTCGGCCCGATACAGCGGAGCCAGCTCCGGCTGCCTGTAGGCATCGACCGTCTGCACCAACAATAATAAATAAATATAAATACAAATACAAAATAACAATAAAATAAAATATAAAATCAGAAAATAAATAGGTGGTGTGAGGTGAGTGGGGAGTTACGTAGGGTGCGTCCATGCGGCGGGTCTGAACGCCGTCGATGGGGCCGTAGCGGGCGGCCGTGGAGAATTTCTTTTGGACCCAGATCCAGAAGAAGCCGGAGAACAGCGGCAGCGCGAGGAGCCCGCCGCTCTCTGCACCACGCGGAAAAGAGTTGATGATGGTGATGATGATGATGATGGGTGGCCATCGAGGAGAAGGAGGAAAGACGGAAGTGGGTGGGTCGAACCTCCGTAGCCCTTGGCGCTGAGCACGCCGGCCATGGTGAGCTGGAAGAGGAGGAGGGCGGTCATGATCTGGTGGAAGATGCTGTGCCACAGGATGCCGCCGGACTCGTATTGCGAGCGATAGACGTGGATGATGTTGTATCGGTGAGCTGGCGCGACGAGCACAGGAGAGACCAGTCAGTGCCCGAGGCGGAAGTGTGTAGGCACGTTGGGAAGAGGGAAAGGGTACAGAGGTAGGCGAAGAAGAAGTAGACGATGCCGAAGAAGGCGATGGCTGGCGCCATGACGCTGAAGATGAGGACCACGGAGAAGATCAACACGTCCATCGACACATGGTCGGCGTAGTCAAACTGGCGCGGCTGCCTGATCTCCTGGCGCTATTTCGTGGTGCAGACACAAGCGAATGTGAGCGACCCAATCGTTTCGGAGCGGAGAGCGGAGAGCGGCCAACAACGAACCTCCTCCGCAGTTCGTCCCCGCAGCCACAACCAGAACAAGCGGCTGTAGAGCTTGAAGAACGCCGAGTACCGGATCAGCTTGAACGGAGCTCGGCCCAAACCTGATGAAAGGGAAAGCACGCGACCAAGTGTGAGCGAACGCCTGCGTCGAAGAGCACTTGCGCCTCAAGACGAACGCACCGACGACCAGGATGTAGTTGATGAAGAACACGGATTGCTGGGGCAGCGAAGAGGCGAGCAGGCCTATCAGATCAGGTGGCCTCGACAACACGATCTTGAGGACCTTGAATATGGAACCTAGGATCGCGCAAATGCGTTAAACCTAGGTTTAGCAAGGTTGGTGTGCGTTGGTGTGCGTTGGCTGTGGCTCGTACCACCGATAACGGACACGAGGAGCAGGTTGAACACCTGGTAGGCCCAGTGGGCTTGGAGTACTGTCCGCTCCTTCTTCTCCTTGTCGTGCCATCCGCACAACTCGACGCACTTACGAATGATCTCGATGGTGAGGTCGTTGAAGATGAAGAGGATGAAGGACGGCAGGAATCCCTCGACGAAGCCGATGAGACCGGGCGCGGCGGCGATGATGTCGTTGAGCCACGAGAAGTAGTGCACCTGGGCCAGGCTGTGAATGTTCGCCAGACCGACGATGAAGAGCACGGGCACCGACCAGAAGAAGATGAACAGGAACATGAGGATCGATGCGATTAGTCCGCGCACGATGTGCTGCGTCTTGCTGATGTGCAGATTGTCCCACAGTATTGCACCAGGCGCCGGAGCAGGGCTCACACTACAAGAACAACGCGTACCGCATGGTTAGCCTACGAACAGTGTGGAAGGCAGCGAGGTAACGTACTGGAGCTTGTCGGGGTTGGCCAGAGTGTGAATGCAAGCAATACGCGCCGGGAACATGGAGTCGAAGGTGATATAACCGACTGTACAGCAAATAATATGAGCGCAGAGAAAGAGACGCCTGGGCAGCTGATTTTGGCTCGTTGAGAAGGAACGCACCGCTTGTCTTCTCGAGCTTGGCCTCAGCGTTTCTCTGCAGCTCAAATATCCTTTCCTCGCTGTCATTCAGCTTATGGACATAGCGACTGAGGGCATCTACCTGCTCACGTACCAGAAAAAAAGGGGGTGAAAACGCGGTTCAGGCGGTCCTCGCACAACTTGGCCAACGACGCCGACGGTGTAAGGTACGGTACCTTGGGACCCACGAGGCCGCCCAGGATCCGTCGACCAAACACCTTCCAACCGATTCGCTTCTGTTGACGCTTCCCCGTGTGCTTTTCGGCGTATTGCACGGCCTTGAGCTTGTATTTAAGGGTCCTCCGCTCGCTGAGTAGCTCATGCAGCTTCCTGATTCGTGGTAATTTGTAAGACAAGCCTGTAGCGTTGTTGTTGTTGTTGTTGTGTGTGTGTGGCCGCACCGTGCATCATAGGGAATTTGAACGTCCACCACTCGGTCGGGGTAGTTCTCTTCAAACCAGCGCCGCAACGCCTCCTTGCTGCGCATCTTCTTGGGAATCTCTTCAGCAATGATGGTGTAGTTCTTGATCTGTTCTCAAATGACCACATCTTGCGTGAGCACTCGCACGCACAAGGCAATGCGGGGCGAGTCGTTACCTCTTTCGAATTGAGATGCTCGATTCTGTCTCGATAGTAGGTGCGATATGTGAAGTAGATGATGCCGTACACCAGCAGCGAGTACACGACGGTGACGGCAATGTGGGCGATGAGCCTGGGGTCGCGCGATCCGATGTTGCCCATGGTCAGCAGGCCCATGCCCTCCGCGGCCGCGAAGCCACCGGTACAGTTGAGCGGCAAGAGAAGAGGCAGCCCGAGGAGGGACATGAAGATGCACTGTTGTTCGCATTGAAGCAACGATCATGAGCTCTTTCTTGCATACATCAATGTGAAGTAGTCGTTTCCAAAGAGCGCACTCGAGTACCATGAACATGGAGAGCCGCAGAAAGCGGAAGTACATCACCGCGTCGAGGCCATGGGTGGCGATCAGCTTCGCGTCCGAGTACCTGAGCACACAGCCGCAATCGCGAGTGAGAACTGCGGCGCGTGATCGCTCACAGAGTGTGTTGGTGCATACCGGAGAGTGGGCATAACCCAGCCGAAGAGGCCGCTGTGGAAGGGATAGCAGGCCGTATCGGACAGGTGGCTCGCCACGCCAGTGGCGCCCGGGCTGCCGTAGGGCCGGCCGTGCCGCCGCGCTTCGGCCTCTTTCTCGAGTGCAGCACGGTTGCGTGCGGTGTAGCACACGGGGGCAAAGAACTGGCGGAAGCCGAGGGCCTTGATGGGCCGCAGCACGCTGAAGAAGAGGAATCCGATCAGCCCTATGGCCAAATTGATGTAGGCCGTCGTGTAGAATGCCTCGAATGAGGTGTCGTTCTCTCCTATGGTCGAGTTGTAGGGATCGCGCAGTTGCAACGTATGCACGAGCACTGGACTTGGACCTTCATCGCTATCCATGGGCTACGAATGTTGTTCGAGCTGCAGGTGATTGAAGTGTCGTTGTATATTGTAATCGAATTGTTTCGGCTCCCGAGACATGGACGCAAGCAGCGGGCTCGGGTTCTCCCTCGAGCCTCCATCTTCCGGCAGATCTCTTTCGCTTTCCTGCTGCTTGCCTCGCTTTTCCTACTTTTCGCAGCTTGGGAAAAAACTTTTCTTTTGCCAAAGAAAAACAAATCCATCTAACAATTTGTTTTCCGATTTTTTTTTTGAGTGAGAAGGTAGCGCAGCTGCAAGGTGTAGAAGTGCGCGAGAGATACTGATAGATGGACAAGAATGAAACCAAGGAAGCGCAAGAGCAAGAATTGGAAGCGATAGAAGCCATTTTCGCCGTATTTTGCTCCCATTCCTCTACACGTTCATTATTCTTTTCTTTCATCACTGACTCCCAGCCGCACACTGCTTTGTTCGTTGTCATAGGATGACTTCAAGCTCATTCCAACGACATGGGGCGGCCAGCCCCCACAATTCATGATCCGGCTCTCACCGCCACCGGGAATGGTGGACGAGATTTATGCCAGCGTGTGGCTCACTATACGGTACATATAGTTCATCTTGTTCTTATGCGTATTAATTTGATCATTTAATGGTTCGATTCTAAATACTCTTTAAATCTTGTTTTTATTCAGATTCACTCGCTCGTACCCAAGGAACGCACCCATCATTGAGCTGGAAAAGATCGAAGGCCTGTCCGACGAACAGTTGGCAGAGCTGCAGTCGCTTCTCGAGAAGGAGGTATTGTGTACGCAACCACTACACGGTGTCCAGCGTGCTCTCACCACATGTCGCCGCTGATTGTTGATGCAGGCCAAAGGGATGCTGGGACGTGAGATGGTGTACGACCTGACTGAAATCGTGCGCGAGTTCCTTCTGCGCCATAACCACAAGACGCTCTCCTTCTACGACGAGATGATGCTCCACAAGAAGGTTCTACACTCAGCTCTTTGTGTTGCTTTGCTTGTCTTTAGCATCTGCTCAAGTAGTAGAGATCTGACGTCGAGCCTGACGCGTTGGTGCTTGGCTCACCTTGCAGGAGGAGGAACGAGAAGCGCTGGAGAAGGAGCAAAAGCGAATGGTGGAAGAAACCAACGAGCGGAAGAAGAAGGAGGACCCTCTGGAGCGAAGGATCAGGTAGGTGCCCTACACTATATTTTGGCCACCGCTCGACGTCAGCTGAAAGCGATTGCCTCTCTGTCAGGGAGGAGTTCAAGCGAAAGGAGGAGGCTCTTCGCAGGATCAAGAAGAAGGACAGCGACTGGCTGGTGCCCATGGACGACGATATGTCGGACGATGATGATTATGGAGACTACTCGGTACGTGCACGATCGCTCACTACTCGAAACGACCACCGGAACAATCGCTTACGCAGGTGAGGGGTCTCCAACGCAGGAGGCGAGCGACAATTCGTTTGTTCCCGCCAAGGGCAAGGAGAAGGGCGTCAGCGTGGCGATCAAGGCCAACGCGCTCGCCAAAGGTCTTCACGATCGCAAAGAGGAGGTGGTCAAAAAAGGTACCAGTCCGTTCGTCAGTCCATCTGTCCGTCACCATCGAATGCTTGTCGTACAGGTCACTAACTGCCTGTGTAGGCGACAACCAGCCGATACGGTGGAAGCGCAGAAACAGCCTCGGCAGGGGTACCTTTGGCGAGGTGATTCTGGGCATGAATCTCGGTACAAGGAAGCTGATGGCGGTAAAGGAGGTCAACTTCGGAAACGTGCCCGACATCAACAAAAAGGTCAGTCTAATACTCATAGCTTTTACACCCCGAGCTTGAACTGCTAAGTCCTAACCCACGCTCGGTGCTGTGTGGTTGGATCAGATGGACCTTGTTGCAAACGAAATCGAGTCATTGCGCGCGCTGCGGCATCCCCACATCGTGGATTACCTCGGCACCGAGAAGGAGGACAACACGCTACGCATTTTCCTCGAGTATGCCCCTCACCCGCTTCTGCTTTCGAGTGTGTCGTGTCTGGTTTAGTACAGGCCTGACCTGGTCATGATTAGGTTTGTCGCAGGGGCCTCATCTCTCGCACAGCACCTCAAGGAGAGCGGCGGTTTGAACGAGACGATGCTGCGAAAGTACACGAGACAGATTCTCGAAGGGCTCAAATACCTCCATGACCGAGGTGCTGTGCACGGTGACATCAAGTGCCTCAACATGCTGCTTGATCACAAGGGCAACCTCAAGCTCTCCGACTACGGCTGCACCAACGCCAAGATCAACGCTCTGCTTACGGCCAAGGCGAGCGACTTCACCAAGAACACGCCGAAAAAGTATGTTGTTGACCTTTCGCAAGCTCTCCAATGCTGTACCTTCGCGCTAACGACGTTACCACAGGGAGGACGATATATTCAGCTTGGGCGTAGCCGTGATCCAGATGGCCAAAGGCATGCCCGACGACATCAACCCGGCCATTCCCGACTACCTGTCTCGTAATGCAAAGGACTTTATACAGTCTTGCTTGCGCAGGTACGCCCGTGTGGCTGGGTCTGTCACGTCTTGAGTTACCACTCACGCGCATCACGCAGGAGCTTGAAGGATAGACCCACCGCACATAAGCTGCTCCTGCATCCTTTCGTGGCCGACATCTCCACGCCCAATCCTTGGTACCTGCCCGGCAGCCCGCCCTCGTCCGTTACTCCAATGCCTCACCGGCGGCCCATCGACGAGTCCTCCACCCAGTCCTCGGTACATCATGTTCCATTCTGCTGGCCTATGTCTGCAACGTGCGACACTTCTTACCACGGGTTGCTCTGCCGCGCAGATGAGCTCGGGCCACGAGTCTTTGGCGCATTCGCAAAACAACATCAACTCGCGCTATCATGCTGACTTCATAGAGCTGGAAGAGCTTGGCAGGGGAGGGTTCGGCTCTGTCGTCAAGGTGCCCTGTTCTCTCCTTGAAAAGAACCGGCCTGTGCAGCACCCCACCCCCACCAACCCCCTAATCACTTTGTGCCTCCCACACGTCATGACATCAGGTCAAGAACAGACTGGACGGCCGTCTGTATGCGATCAAGAAGATCAAGCTGCACCCGGGCGATAGCTTCAACCAAAAGATGTTGCGCGAAGTCACCACTCTCTCGAGGCTGAACCACCAGTACGTTGTACGCTACTTCCAGGCGTGGACGGAAGGAGGTACGCGCACCCAATTCAGAATCTGTGGAGCGACTGGAGGTCTCCATACCGGACACCAACTGATCGATCGCGAAACCACAGGCGCGGACAGCACGCTCCCATACGAGGAGGATGAGGACGACGTGGAAGAGGAGGACTGGCTAAGCAGCAGCTCCATGACCTCATTGACCCGAGACTTGGGTCTGAAGCTAGGTACTCGATCGAGGGATCTTCTGCAGCTACCATGGATTGAAGGCTCACTGCTCTCCAAATGGCCACGACAGACGCGGCAGAAGCCAAAAAGAAGAAAAACGCGGGCGGCGGCCAAAAGGGAAGGGCCGCGCTGGAAAAGAGCAGCGACAGCGAGGACTATTTCATTCGCGACGGCCAAGACGACACTGATGATGACGCACAGGTGCGTGTGTGAGCCTTTTTGCCACCAAGACGCACCCCATGGTCTTGACTAAAGAGACTGTGGACATGGCCTGTGTACAGGACGACGATGGGTTTGACGATGAAGGAGCAGATGAGGACGACCAGGACAACCACGATGACTCTGATGAGGAGAATGACGACGACGACGAAGATTACGATAGCTCAGATGCTACGACCACACATGCCAAAGGACAAAGGGCGAGAAACGGCGCGCCCGAGACTCTGTACATTCAGATGGAGTACTGCCCCGGCGACACCCTACGAACAGTAAGACCGGCCTCTCCTCTCTTTGAGCTCCCCGAACTAATCGCTGTTGTTAATCAGGCCATTGACAAGGGGCTGTCGGACGATGAGATCTGGCGTCTGTTCCGCCAAATCCTCGAAGGGTTGAACCACATCCACCTCCAGGGCATTATTCACCGTGATCTCAAGGTACCTCCGCCGCCGAATATGGACTGCACACACATGTGCTCTGCGTCACGACAACTGATATCTTCGATGCTATGTCCGTGACATGCGCAGCCCATGAATATCTTCCTCGACCAAAACGGAGATGTCAAGGTAAACCGCACACGCACACCGCACGCACGCACACGACGCGTTGGCAAGGGGTGTATGCTCACTCTATTCTCGCTCGATAGATCGGCGATTTTGGCTTGGCCACGACTGGCACGGGTCGTGTGGCGAAGAAAGAGCTGCGGGAGTTCGCCTCGCTCAACTCGTCCGTGGATTCGGTCTCGTCGCTGAAGGAGAGTCTGACGATTGGTGTGGGCACGCCCTTCTACTGCAGCCCCGAGCAGCTCAAGGCCGGCACGCACTATGACCAGAAGGTCGATCTCTACTCACTGGGTATCATCCTGTTCGAGATGTGCCACCCGATCACCACCGGAATGGAGCGTGCTGAGGTACACAACGCTGGCCCTGGCCCGACCTCTTGACTGCGCAATGCGCACCGAATGTGCCACAGCTCGAGCTCACATGTCGTTTTTTGGCGAAGGTGTTGACGGCCCTGCGTAACGACATGAAGCTTCCGAGTGGCTTCGAGAAGGAGCACTCCACCGAGGCGGAGCTCATTCGCTGGCTTTTGCAAGAGGACCCCAACGCTCGGCCCACCACCATGGAGCTGCTCAAGAGCGACCTCCTGCCCGCCAAACTGGTATGCGACCCGTCCTGCATTCATTCATTCATTCATTCATTCATTCATTCATTCATTCATTCATTCATTCATGTGCTAATGGTTTCACGCGTGTTTGGGACACAGGAAGAAGAAATCCTGAAGGAGGCGTTGCGCACGATCACGATTCCAGGCACCACGATCTTCAACATGCTCATCGAAAAGCTCTTCTCGCTGGTGCCCGATGAGCACCTCGACTACACCTACGATTCGCACGCGGTACTGCCCCCCCCCGCCAACCAGCATTAAAGTCTCTTCTCCCTCTGACCACTGTGTCTTCTTCGCACAGACGAGCAAGCTCCACAGCACTGCAGAGCTGCTGCTGCGCGAGCAGGCCTTCCACAGGATCACCGAAGTATTCAAGCGCCACGGAGCAATGCTGCTCGAAACTCCTCTCCTCGTACCCAAGGTACCGTGCCTTGTTCCTTGGCTTTGTTACATTTGATCGGAGCAGCGGTTGCGCTTTGAAGAGGAGTCAACTTACTCATGCTGAACATTGCGCCCACAGAGTGGCGTACTGGAGGAGGGAAATGTGGCTACGCTCATGGACGACAGCGGATCGGTGCTGATGCTGCCCTACGACCTCACCCTCCCCTTTGCCCGCTACGCTGCTCACAAGGACATCGTCTCGCTCAAGCGATACAACGTCGCGCGCGTCTATCGGTGCGCCGAGAGTGTTTCCTTTTCGTTCATGTTCAAGTCAAGTTTACTACTTCTCACTAACACCTGGGGTACCCAACCAACATTACAGCAAGAATCCGGCAGGAGGCCAGCCGCGCGAGCTCTTCGAGTGCGACTTTGACATCATCGGACCCGTGTCCTCCCGGTCGGTGCATGATGCCGAGACGATCAAGGTGCTCGTGGAGGTCCTCGAAGATTTTTCCAAGCAGCTTGGCCCGTACTCCATCAAGGTGCGCCCCAGTGCGATCGCACACGCGATACCCGTGCTGCGCGTATGGAAATGGAGAACTAATAAGGGTCCTCTCGCTCTCAACGGTACAACAGATCAATCACCACAAGATCCTGCTGGCGATGATGGACATCTGCGGTTTCCCGAAGGAGACCCGCGCCAAAGTGTGTCACGTCATTGAGCAATTGTGGAAGCGAAAACAGCGCCACCGCGGTTCCTTCACAAGTACTACGCAGCCCTTCCCCGTCTTGCCGCTGCACCGTTCGAGTGCAGTGTTTAGCAGAGCATCAACAGTTCACTGACATTCACCATAGCAGCGCAAGGCAAGACCGGGCAGACAGCGGGAGCGGGTCCGTTGCCTTCGACGTCACCGTCGTCGTCGGGTTCGGGCATCCCCAACACAGGCCCTGGCGGGAAGCCGGACAACAAACTGTGGACCAACATCAACAAGTACCTGCTCAAGATTCCAGGCGTGAGCCAAAAGTCGGTGGATATGCTAAGCCAGTTCCTCAACCTCAGAGGTAGTCTTCTAGAAACGCGTGTGTGTCGTGTGTGTCGTGTCTCGTGTGATGTGGGGTGTGCATGTTATGAAGGGAGCTAACCATCGAGTGAATGTGAATGGAGCAGGCGACATCCAGACGATGCTCCTAAAGCTGGAGAAGTTGATCAAGGGCCACCGACAAGGCCAAGAGGGACTCGAGGAGCTGCGCCAGGCAGTCAAATATCTGCAGATTTTTGGTGTTCTTGATCGCGTGTTCCTCGACATCGGTAATCTCCCCCCCCCCAATCCACCCATACTTCATTTATTAGTCGCGTTCACTCACGAGAGCCGCCCCTTTAACTCTTTTTGCCGCACAGGATTGGCCTACAATTTTCTGTACTACGATGGTCTCATTTTCCAGGCTGTTCTCCAAGAACAGAACGAGGTAACGCTTCCCTTCACCTTAACAACCAAATGATGAGATGACTCTCTCACACGCATGCGCCTGTATTGGTGCAGGTCATCGCCGCTGGCGGCCGTTACGACGGGCTGGTGGCCAAGTTTCAGCCTCCCAACTCAACTTCAAGCGCTGTAGCTGCGGTGGGAGTGAACATTGCCATCGCCAAGCTCATCAGCAGCTTTATCGCCTACGAGACCCGCAAGGCAAAGAACGAGGGCCGCAAACTGAGGTGAGTGAGCAGCCCTGCCCCACTTCTCATCTACACTTTCCCTCGCGTGATCTGATCGTCAATGCCATTGACTGGCCGTTGCGTGATTGAATCCTTCCCAGGAATTGCGAAACAGAGGCATACGTTTGCTACATTGGACGAAACATGGTGGAGGAATGTATAGAGATTTGCATGGAGCTGTGGGCCAAGAACATCAAGGTACACCCACTTCCTCCTCCTCCTTTTGCAACGACGCACAACCACACTCACCTTTACTGTGTGGCCAGGCCGAGTACATGGACGGGGCATCGAACACCGCTATCGGCGGCACGGGGCTGATGGGCGCGGCGGCTGGCGCCAACGCAATCACGGTGGGCGGCGGCAAGCACACCATGGAGGAGCTCTTTCTCGCCTGCAAGCAGGCCGGCGTGCGGTGGATGGTGGTGCTCAAGGACCGCAGCTACGAGAAGACCAAGATGGCCAAGGTGCGGGACGTACAGACCCGAACGGATGCCGACGTCCACAAAAAGGATCTCGCCGAGTACCTCTCGCTTTTGAAATCAGGTACGGCTCCACCTTTCCTCTACCATCTTCGCGCTCTGCTCTAACCCCAACGTGTGCCGCGATGACGACGACGACAACGACGATTGGGATAAAGGTGCGGCGCTGGCCCAGCTGCAAGCGGCGGTGAAGACGCCCTCGAGGGAGATCAGCCGCGAGGCCATGACGGAGATGGTCGGACCCACAACCTCTGGAAACAACGTCAACACTCGAGGCTCTACCGGTACTCTTTATTCCATGATGAGAGGAGGAGACCTTTGGTGGATTGAGCTGACCCTCGTGCGTGTGATGATGGTGGTGATGATGTTGAAAAAGGCGGAGGCAAGGGAACGAAGGACAGCGGGGGTGGCTCGTCGGGCGGCGTGTACGAGGTGACCATCCTCAACACCAATCTGCCCTCGCGCCGCAAGAAGCAGATCTCGCTCGACGTCAACAAAGCGCTGGGTCCGCGCATGACCAGCGTCGTCAGTCCGAACAAAACAAAGGTTTGTACCACACGACGCACACGACGCACGACACACGGTGCTCGGTCAAGGCTAAGTCGGGGGTGGGGCAGGTCTGGGCAGTGGAGCTGCCCGTGCAAGTGCTGCGGGAGCTGGTGGCGTGCGCCGGAGGCATCGGGTTCCACCAGCCCATCCAGAAGTACCCGCGATTCAAGGACGCCATCATCGAGCTGCGCGACGCCCTCACCGCACACGACGCGGCGTCCATGCCCCTCGTCTTCCTCTACTCCATTCCCGACGGCAAATACGAGCTGTTCCTCTTCCGATCTTGATGAAGAAGGTGAAGATGAAGAGAAGACGAAACGTTTACCGACAGAACCAACAAAGAACCAACAAAGCTCAGCGAGCCGCTTATTTCTTTTGTGCTCCGAAGAAGCCTACAGAGGTTTACTCACCCCGAGACTGCTTCTTGGCCTTCTTCTCCTTCTTCTCCTTCTTCTCTTTCTTCTTCTCCTTCTCCTTCTTGTCCTCGGCGCTCTTCTCGATCTTGCTTCCTCCCTCCTTCTTTTGCTTCTTCCCCTTCTTCTTGTCACCGCTCTCCTCGCTCTTCTCCTCGAACTTGCGCTTCTTGCTGCTCTGCTGCTGCTGCTGCTCTCCGTCACCGTTCCACTCCCGCTTCTTGCTGCTCGAGCTGCTGCTGCTGGAGCTGCTCCACCTGTTGGCCGCTCGCGAGTGTCCACCACCGCCATCGCCGCCGCCGCCGCCGAGCTGCTTCTCGCGGCGCTTGGCCCGCTTCTTGGCGTTGAGGTTGAAGTGGCGGTAGGGCGCGAGCTTCTTGAGGCTCACGCGCTTGTTGAGCTCGGCGTCGGGCAGGGTGAGGATCGTATCTACGTCCATGCCGTAGGACTTGGGCTTCACCTGGCGGTACTTGAAGCGACACGGGATCTCGCCGGCGATCAGGTCCTCAAAGTCGAGCGCGTAGTACTTCTCCAGCAGCTCGTCCATCTTCCGCTTCGACTCGGCCTCGGCATCGGGCTGGGCCTGGCCCGCTTCTTCTTCACCGCCGCCGCCATAGTACTCCTCTTCATCGTAAACCTCTTCGTCAGCGCGCTTCTGGAAAAAGAACGAAGAAGAACGAAGAACGAAAGTCAGTGCACAGTGGTGGGGGGGGGACGAGAAAGGCGCGTACATTGCCGATGAGCGAGCCGACGGTGTTCTGGAGGCCAAAGTTCTTTTCGCTCTCGTCCGGGTCCTCGTTGAAAACGGGCATCTCCTCGTCACCCTCCTACACACACGACACAGGCGCACGCGCACGCAATCAGGGCCACGTTGTCGCTGGTGCGCGCAAGACGGAGATGCGCGTACGCCTTCGTAGTAGTCGTCGTCGAACGTGGAGGCCATCTTGCGGTCGTGCTCCGTCGGGTCGAACTCGTCCTCCAGATACTCCTCCGCGAAACCCAGATCTGCGACACCCCGCCCACCCACCTCTGATCAGCCCCGCGTGCGTGTGCGGTTGTGCGTGTGCGCACGCGCCAAGTGTGGTGGTAAACTGTTGTTTGACACGCGTGTCGTACCGGAGGCGCCGCTGGTCTCCTGGATCTTGGAGAGCTGCTTCTTGATGCTCTCCTTCATGAGGTTCTTGATTCGCTTCAGCTCCTCCTCCTTCTGAGTGCGCTCCAGGGCCTTCTTCTCCTTCCGCTTCTCGCGCTTCTTGGCCCGCTTCGAGTCCTTCCTGCGCGCCGAATCCTCGATCACGCGCGGGTGCGAAATGATCTGGTCGCTCCCCCTGTCCACGTCGCGCGCACCCCCAACCGCTGCGGTTGTAAGACCTCACGCCCCGACGCCAGCGCACGCGCCACCTTAACGAGTAAACGAGAAAAAGAAACACGCACTCTTCGAGGTAGTGGAAGGCCACGGCCTCCTGGTGCTTCATCTCGAACTCCTCCTGCTGCTCGATCGCCTCCTCGTCCTCCTCGTCCTTTTTTTACAAGTGTAATTTGATTATTAGTTCCTTATTTTTCCTCTATTCTTATACTTATTCATAATTTATATTCTTCTACACAGAAGAAGAGAAAAAGAGATAGAGAACATTGGCCACAGGTGGCCAC